CTGTTTTCCATAAGTATGTGTTTTGTTGTTACTCAATCACTGTTAAAAAATAAACAACCCAATTGGTTATTGATATATAAAGACTAAATTTTGAACAGTTGTCAGGAAATTAAATACTTGTAAATTGGACACTCATTTTATCAAAATGAATCAATCAGCTTTAAACTAGTCACAAGTACAAATTAGATGGTTTTGGAGGATTTTGAATGATTTTTCTGAATTTTTAAACAAAGATTTGATATTAAACGAATGTGAAAGACATTAGTGCTAGATACATAAGATTAAATGAGACCCGGGTTACAATGTATGTTGACAAGATATTTAAATTAACTTTTACCCGAACGTTTTTTTATGTCATTTGTAAAGTTTTTATAAATGATTTCTTTTCAGTCATCTGGGTTTAAACCAGACAGTACCAAACATTCCAAGTTGAAGGTAAGACAGCAGATCTTATAGATGGGTATCAGAAAAATTACACAATAATGAAATGGCGTTAAAAGACTTATTATCTCCCTTTGAGGTGCCTTTTGACTTGGAAGTCATTTAAGTCCCCAAGATGGCTGAATGGTTTAACATGCACTTTAGATCATAAAGTATGTCATTGAGTCAAGTGGCGCGTTTTGAATTCCTTGTTTGTATTTGACAGGGGGTTTGGTCCCCTGTCCAACCTTGTGGGTTTGGTCCCCTGTCCAGCTTCGTGGGTTTGGTCCCCTGTCCAACCCTGTTGGTTTTTAAGTTGAATTAATAAAGTGATATTAAATCATATCATTTGCTTTGCCTAGGTTTTAATATTTTTTATGATATGTGTTTTTTGTAGGGTATGATTAAAGAGCTCGTAGGGCTGTACACAGCTTATGTTCGAGCGGCCATTCTTCCTGAATCGTTAGAAAATATAGGTGATAAACAGAGGGAACAACTCGGCATCTGGCCAGGTACTGGCAGACGACAAGAAATTTCTGGTATTTGGTTGCCACATTGCGTCAGGCATATCAGGTTAGTGCTATATTTGTATGCCTGTCTTCATTAACCCAGTCGGTGCAAAACGATTTCATTTCATTTCATTTCTTATTGAAACAACACAAATATCCATCTTGCAATGAGGGAAATTGTGCAACAGCTTACTCTTTTTTTTCTCTTTCTAACCTATCATTTTAAAACATATTTACTGTAAATTTTGGTTATTAGTTTCTTTTACAATTTTTAATAACTTCTATGTGTATACAGCGGTTTCATTTATTAACAAAACAAGACCATAATGAACCTGCAATGTTTATTGGATTAGGTTCCGATTTGATGTTTGACTTCCATTCATAAGTTAATCATTAATTCGATAATCAAGACTATGTTTTTTATCGTACCGACTTTAGTAATGATGATCGAGGCTAGGCCGAAAATTCAATCACTAATATCTTGGTTCAGAGTGGATCAATTTGACTGAAATTATCAGCAAATTCCCTTTACATTATCTAGTTTTTAACTATTATAGTGAAAACTGACAGCTCTTTATCTAATCTCCCATATTGTATCTTTAATCAAAAATAAATTATTATTATTATTATATTTGCAGGATGAGTGCGTCAACTCTTGGTGAATTAGATGTTCATTCTGAAGCGTTAAATCTAGTTCAAGAACTTGCCTTTGATCTACGAACCCACTGTATGTTTAGTCTTCTGAAGCAAGCTATATTAGGTAAATGAAATGGGGTTTAACCTCCTACCTTTCTTTTTACCCTGAAGGAAATTTTGACCAGACAGAGGCGCTACGGCCTACTTTGATTTCAAGAAAGATGCAACAGAAATAATGTGACCGTTCCTGACAGTGGTTGTCTCTAGAGAGGCGATAGTCGACCAGTTAACAACCGTTTTCCCGAAGCAACAACTGCGAGTTTTACAACATCTAGCCGTTGCTAGGCTAGTATGAAATTCTTTTTATTTTTAGTTTAAAAAATTTAGTATGAAATTCTCAAACTTTTAGGTAGTAATCTCCCTTTACAGGTAAAGGAATAGATTCCTTTACTGCCATGAATTCTTTTTATTTTTAGTTTAAAAAATTACGGAAAACCAAAGAAAAGCTACTTTACTAGCATAATGGATAAACAAAAAGATTTGGGGCATGGCCGAAAGGGCGAAAAGCTCTAGCATCCTTGTCATTGAACAACCCTTGAACTTTGCAACTCGATTATCAAAGCTAGACATTTTAGCATGCGACTTGGTATTCATGATGATATTTTCTACCGAGGAATCTGAGAGGTCCCGAGCTGGGTCAGGAACCAGTCGAAATTAGTGCCGAAATATGCAGGGTATTACGTGAAGGCCTTGATAAGATGTACGGAGATCAAGCCTTCTTTTGAAGATGTTAACATCATGAGTTAGATCGTCAAACAATTTTAACAATAAGGGCGATAATATCCGATATATTTAAATAATAAATATGTTTTTGTTTTTCTCTTGTTTTAGATGTTAAATCTCTACATAATAAAGAAACGTGGGCTATAGAATACGGTGATGAGTATGGTGGATCGACACAGCTGGTAAGTACTTAAAAATAAACTTGGAAGTCATGGTGGTTCAGTTAGTATAGAGCTGTTCTGCATTTTTCCAACTGATTTCTCGCCTTTGTCAATGGGAAGGGGGGTGCGGTGGTGGGGGCAGAATGGCTAACTGGTGTGCATCTGATTATAAGGTTGCCTGTCCGACCTCGTGGGTTTTCTCGGAGTCTGCCGGTTTCCCCCCACTACTAAAGACCCCTACGCACTAGCGAATTACTGAAATAAAATTAAACCTAGTTTATGCGAAGTGGACATGCATCTCTCTCTCTCTCTCTCTCTGTCAAGGAAAAGCTGTCTAGTCCTTTGCAAGAGAAGAAAAATCAAGGTTGACCTGTGTACTTGTTGACGTGCAAGTTTAAGAAGCCTTGATTGTTGTTGCTGTCCAGGCGAAATTTCACCCATAGCTTATCTTAGTCAATGAACAGTCTTGATAACTGCTTGCTACTGATGATGAGTTATATGTATTTGAGAATATTAATGCTACATTTGTGTATGTGAGAATATTAATGCCATACTTGTGTATTTGAGAGTATTGATATGTATTTGAGAATATTAATGCTATATTTGTGTATGTAAGAATATTAATGCCATACTTGTATATTTAAGAGTATTGATGCTGTATTTGAGAGTATTCAGACTATATTTTGTGTATTTGAGAGTATTCAGCTATATATTGTGTATTTGAGAGTATTCATGCTATATTTGTGTATTTGAGAGTATTCATGCTATATTTGTGTATTTGAGAGTATTCATTCTATATTTTGTGTATTTGAGAGTTCAGGCTGTGTTTTGTGTATTTGAAAATATTCAAATGCCATATTTGTGTAGTTTTAAAGCTAAATTTTGTGAATTTGAGAGTATTCATGCTGTATTTGTGTGTATTTAAGAGTATTCAGGCTATATTTTTTGTATTTGAGAATAATTATGTTATGTTTTTTGTATTTGAGAATATTCATGCTATATTTTGTGTATTGCAGAATATTCATGCTTTATTTTTGTGTATTTACAGCCAGTGTTATTTGAGAATATTGTGAATGAAACTGTTCAACATTTACATGAAGTTGTTGTTTTAAATAAACCTGGTGAATCAGAGGTAAATAGTTACAATGTATTTCTAGTTAGGGTCAGTCGGTCGAAAAAACTCTGCAGGGATTGTGTTAAACTGTAACCCAGGTATTATTTAATCTTCTGTATCTATCACTAATTTCTTTCACATCCGTTTAATATAAAATCTTTGTTTAAAAATTCATACAAATCGTTTAAAATCACCAAAAATCATCTAATTTGTACTTGTGTCCAGTTTAAAGCTGACCATTCAATTTTGATAATGAGTGTCCAATTTACAAGTATTTAATTTTCTGACCACTGTTAAAAAATTAATCATTATACATCATTAATCAATTGGGTTGTTTATTTTGTAACAGTGATTGAGAAATTAAACACTTGTAAATTGGACACTCATTATCAAAATTGAATAGACAGAAGTACAAATTAAATGATTTATGGTGATTTTAAACAGTTTTTATGAATTTTTAAACAAAGATTGGATATTAAACGAATATGAAAAAAAAATTAGTGCTAGATACACAAGATTAAATGATATCTGGGTTACAGTGTTATCTATTTCCTAACATTTCTAGCTTAATTACTGAGTAAAAACTCATGAAAATTATACCGAAATATCAGTGTTGGAATATATTCACAGAAAACCAAGCCAACGCCGAATTATAGGGCCTGGGAAATGAGAAAAAAAGCTTAGAGTCCGTGATTGCACCACCGACATGGGGTGGGAGGCAGGGGGATTTTGTAAAAATTGTGTTTTGAGCTACAGATAATCTGTAACCTGTTCTTTTATGTTACAGATTTTCAGTCAGAGACCGATTCAGAAAGAAGCAACAGTATTATGTACACAGTTACTTCAAGCTTTTGCTTTATGTATGGAACAACTAGCGTTTACACCACCACTACATAAGATAGATATATCACAGTAAGTTAGATAGATATATCACAGTAAGTTAGATATATCACAATAAGTTAGATATATCACAGTAAGATAGATATATCACAGTAAGATAGATATATCACAGTAAGTTAGATATATCACAATAAGTGAGCTACATATATCACAGTAAGTTAGCTACATATATCACAGTAAGTTAGCTAGATATATCACAGATATATAGATTGATATGTCACAGTAAGTTAGATATATCACAATAAGTTAGATAGATATATCACAGAAAGTTAGATAGATATATCTCAGTAAGTTACATAGATATATCACAGTAAGTTAGCTAGATATATCACAGTAAGTTATCACAGTAAGTTAGATTGATATATCACAGTAAGTTATCACAGTAAGTTAGATTGATATATCACAGTAAGTTAGATTGATATATCACAGTAAGATAGATATATCACAGTAAGTTAGATTGATATATCACAGTAAGATAGATATATCACAGTAAGTTACCAAAAAGTCAAAGGGGGTCAATGGGGGATCTATGATATCCAAGTAAATTTGTTGGTGAAATGACATTGAAATGAAATGAAATGGGGTTTAACGTCCTTCTGTTCTGCTCCAACTGGGCTAATGAATTACACGTTGAAAGTGGTATAACTTTGAAACCGGAAGTGGTAGGCCAACGCCACCTAGCCTATGTTACTCCCCTGTCCAAGCTCCCTCTATACACCAAATTTCAGCCCCTGGACAGCCCTAGTGTAGCTGCCAATCCTGAACAGACGGAAAAACAGACAAACCAATATTAGTACTGTCATACCTGACCTAAAAATCGTGATTATATATTAAAATCATGTGTATATCTACACTTCGTTAACTCAAGAAAATTGTGATACCAGGGTCCTGTTTCTCAAAATTTTAGTAGATACTTCAATTTTGATTGGCTAAGCACTAAAATCAATCTAATATTATCCAATCAAAATACTCAAATTTGGATTTTTATCTTATTTAAAATTTCGTGAAACTGGCCCCTGGTCTCAAGCAAAATATGATACCTGGCCTTAAAGTAGCTAAGTCTCTAACTCAATATCATCCAAAGTCTTACACATTGAAAATACGAAATATTTGTCAATTCAAATCAACATTGATGTTGTTATCTTACCGGGAAAAGGTAGGCTTCTGATATCCAGTATTTAAAGACAAAATAAACATTTTACCACTGGTACACGAATCGTGTACCATAGTGCGTTTTAGCGTCATTTGCAACAGGTGACCAGAAAGTACGAGGCTAGACATATTCAACTGGAGAGCATGCGCAATAGACTGGAATAACCAGACGCTACAAATTGCTATAGGGTTGTATTTTGCTGGACATAACTCATTTGAAATTAGAGTCAAAACGGAAACAATTGAATGTAAATCAGTTTATATACAATCAGATTACATTATTATATACGTTGTGACCCATTTGGGTCGATTATTATTAGTAGTATTATGATATAGACAGATATATGTTTTGGTGTACAGGTATCTAAGTAAAATATACTAATTTATTTCAGAGCTCAGCCAATCAAAATGCATCTTGGATTTGATTTTGATCTTGACCAACTTGAAGATCCCATTCCATCATTAGTAAGTTTTGTTCTTTCATTCACTGTACAGTATATGTATGTCTTAGATTTTAACCAAACTAGTATTTCATACAAAATGAAATGAAACTGGGCTCATGAAGAAAGGACAGACACCATACAGTGTGCTATGAAGGAAATTTTGCCTGTACAGCGGCACTGCGGCCTACTCTTATATCAAATTCCAACTGTCAAGGGACCTTTTAGGTGCACACCAATGTGTACATGGAACCTCGTTTTTTTGTCCCATCCGAACGACCAGACAGCTATCCTTGTCAGGTCCTCCATCCTGCATCACTGACATGGGGGAACCACACCGGAAAATCTGGATGAACTTTCTCGGCCAATGCAGGGATCAAACACTTGACCTCCAGGCTAGCGAGCCAGTGTCTAACCCACTTAGTCACCGTGGTTCCCCTGAATTGTGTTTAGAAAGTAATTGTATTTTACAGGGTCAAAGACCAGTTATTATGTTAAAGATGCATTATATAAGATTTAGTTCAAAAATACTTCATTAACAGATAGTACTTCATTAAGAGCTAAATAGGCCTATTGCAGGTGTGTCTTTAGGCCTTAAATGGTATATAAATTATTAATTAGACATTTATTAACATGACAAGACCATGATCAGCTCTCAATGTCACCAGATGCTCGAGATTTTTACTAGATTAGAATGGTTTTCCCATTAAAGAATTTGATTTAAAAATAGAGAATCGAGGCTAAGCCACGAATATGCAAGTACCATGGTTACAATAATAAACAATCAATGTTCATATCTTGTCAAAACTACAAACAGTGATAACTTAGCTCAAAATAAAAGTAACTTAATTGAAATTTTCAATATATTTTTTTGAATTATCTAATTTTTAACTATTATAGCGAGAACTGTCAGCTCTTTATCTAATCTCCCATAATGTATCTTCAAGTAATTGTATTTACAGGATAAAAGACTGGTGATCATGTCAAGTAATTGTATTTACAGGATAAAAGACGGGTAATCATGTCAAGTAATTGTATTTTACAAGACAAAAGACTTGTTATATATATGAAGTAATTGTATTTTACAGGATAAAAGACTAGTTATCATGTTAAGTAATTGTACACATACAAGGGAGAAAACTCTACCAAGAATTATAGAAAATCTCAATAAACATGGTTATGTTGAAATGAACAAATCATTACAAGTAAGATATTCATGTTTTCTCAGAGGATCAAGGGCCTATCGTACTGCTAAAGACCCCTATGCGCAATCAAATTATTAAAATAAAATTGAACCATATGTTGGTCCCAAAATGATCTAGTTTGTGTGGAGTGGTCGTTAAACCCCATCTCTCTCTCTCTCTCTCTCTCTCCAGAGTACATAGCTATTAAAGTATTTATGGGATTTAATAATTTTTGTGTTCCATGGATTCCATTCTGTTTTTGATTTAAAAGGTCTTGTATTTTGATGCCTGAGTTTATTAATTGTTGAAATTATTTTTTGCAGGTAGCACAGCAGACATATCATAATTTAGATGATAAATTATTCCAGGCGTATTTAGAACAGAAGACCGATCCAATTATAGGAACCATAGAACCAAACATGTATAAAGCAGGATTTGATTGGAAGAACTGGAAACAATTATCAGGTAATGGGGTTTTAACGTCCTGCTGTTCTGCTGCGACTGGGCTAATTAAACATACATTATGTTTTTAAACTCAGTTTTACTTTTAAATTTTAAAGAGTGTTTAAAGTGATTTTAAACATTAATTTGTGCGCCACTGAGCAGTTTTACTGAATATACCAGCGCTATACAAGATGGATTATTATTATGCAAGAGCTGAATATGCCTATTGCAGGTCTTTATTTACGTCTAAAATGTTATATAAACTGTTAATCAACTCTCGATGGCATTGGATACTCAAGAATTTATCTAGATTAGAACGGTTCGCCATTTAAAAATTTAATTAAAAAATGGGAAAGCGAGGCTAAGTCTCGAATAAACTAATGCCCTGGTTACCACAATGCACACATCTTGTCAAAACTACAAACAGTGATAACTTGGCTCAGAATGAAGTAATTTGAATGAAATTTTCAATACTTTTATTTTACATCATCTATTTTTGAGCTATTATAGCTCTTTATCTAAATCTTACATAATGTATCTTTGAGATGGGTATACATCATAAAGTGTGCTATGAGGGAAATTTTGCCTGGACAGCGGTGCTGCAGACTGCTCTTATATCAAATTTCAAGGAGTCGCCTGTCCAACTTCGGGGGTTTTCCCTGGGTCCTCCCATCTCCTCCCACTGCTCTAGACCCCTACACACAAGTGAATTATTGAACCATATGTTAGTTCCAAAATGAACCAGTTTGTGTCGAGTGGACATTGAGCCCCTTTTCTCTCCCGCTCTCTCTCTCTCTCTCTTAATGACAAGCATGCACTCAGCTCGGGTGCAGCCAGTAACGACACTTGTATTGCTAGTGGGGTGGAGAGTGTTAGGAGTGTTGTAGAGACAGCCTATCATCAAAACCTGGTTCAACAATAAATATTCATAGGCAAACCCCATTCTTATGATAATTTTTTTTTTTGTCTTTTAGTGTTGTTATTGACAATGGGGGTTTGATGGCCGAATTGTTAGCGTGTTCATGCCGTATCATTGAGTCAACCTGGCTTGATTCCCTGATTGTAGGAGTAGGGTCACGTGTTCAGACCTCGTGGGTTTTCTCAGGTTTCCGACCACTGCTGAAAACCCCTACTGAAAGCGAATTATTGAAATAAAGTTAAACCCTCCCTCCCTCTCTCTCTCTCTCTCTCTCTCTCTCTCTCTGTTATTGACAGTGTAAGATCCACTGCATACTAGTTTTAAATGGTTCACTTTATATTCTACTTTTGTTTTTATTTATAAAGGTGTTCGTAGTTATTTAAAAGAGGTTATACTGAGTATTATAGAAGTTCACGCAGAGGTGAGTAGCACCATTTGTGTTTCGGGGACATTCTTAATCTTGTGACTTTAGTCCATGTGGTGGTGAAGCATTGCAGACTGGTGTATAGCTACCTGTATGATAATCTGGCTGGTGGAAGGTTAGGTGGTTGAATGGTCTTATGTGTGCTTTAGACCATAAGGTCTGTCATTGAGTCAAGTGGACTCCTACACGCAAGCGAATTATGGAAATAAAAATTAAAGCATATGTTAGTCCTGAAACTACTTAGTTATCTCTCTCATCTAGCCAGATCAAGGCTTGTATTTTAGCATAAGGGCCTTTAGGTGAAATGGTAGGGAGCAGCTAACATTTTTGCAGGTTTATGATTATGTGTCAATTATTGAGCTGTTGATTATTGTTGCTTACCTTTAACTGTCCTGTGATTACATATTTATTTGTCCTTATGACTGTCCTGTGATTACAGGTATATTTATCTTTATGACTATCATGTGATTACAGCTATATTTATGACTGTCCTGTGATTATATATATATTTACTTTTATGACTGTCCTGTGATTACATGTATATTTACCTTTATGACTGTCACGTGATTACAGTTATTTTTATGACTTACAGGTATATTTACCATCACAGATGTCACATGATTATAGATATATTTAACTTTATGACTGTCCTGTGATTATAGGTATATTTACATTTATGACTGTCCTGTGATTGCAGGTATATTTACGTTTATGACTGTCCTGTGATTGCAGGTATATTTACGTTAATGACTGTCCTGTGATTACAGATATATTTAACTTTATGACTGTCATGTGATTACAGGTATTTGTGATATCACCAGCGTTTGTATCTCGTGTAATGAAGAAAGTCATGGAGGCGGTATGTGAAGAAATATCTCGAATCATTCAATGTGTCACAGATTTTGGTTCTGCTGGGGCCATACAGGTAAGGACAATTCTTAACACCTTTCAATTAATTCGGATATTAAAATATTCTAATAAATTTACAATAACTGGAAAACAAGGTAACTGCCTAACTTCACAGAACAGATGTAGGTAGTATATCAGTCTTCGATCAGGATCTGAATAATTAAACATTCAATCCATGAAATAATTAAAATAAAATGGAGTTTATTGTCTACACAACTGGGCTGATGGAGACGGCATGCCCCATGTAGTGTGCCAGGAGGGAAAATTTGCCCTGTGGCTTCATATTATTATCATATTGGGAGAAGGTTCATAATTTCTATGGGGGGTTGGATGGCCGAATGGTTAGCACATTCGTGCTGTATCATAAGGTCTGTCATTGAGTCAACTGGCGGGGTTTCGATTCCCCGGTTGTATGTGACAAGGAGTAGGGTTGCCTGTTCAACCTCGTTGGTTTTCTCTGGGTCCTCCGGTTTCCTCCCACTGCTAAAGACCCCTACGTGCAAGCGAATTATTGAAATAAAATTGAACTATTTGTTAGTCCCGAAATGACCTAGTTTGTGTCGAGTGGACGTTAAACCCCATTTCTCTATCTCTCTCTCTCTCTCTTAATAGTAAGTCTGTTCTAATTATAAATCTGTTTTTTATTTCCAGGCACAACTTGAGTTAAAAGCCTTAGAGACAATTGTTTGTCTGTTTGAAACAGCCAACATTAGGTCAGTCAATTTTATTTCATTGGGTTTTTTGAATACTGGTCTGAAGCGGTCTAAATGAGTTACTTCCCTTTATTAATAATACTTGCAGCTGGGAAAGGGGGGATGGGGGCTTGTTTTAGTCATATTTACTAGTTTTGTCTTGACTGGCAGTGAAATTGACCAACTGGAGAATTTACCTGTCAGTCAATCGTAGATGCTATAAAATTTGAGTTACAAAGAGTAGTCTAAGATACACACTAACTATTAGTGTAAAAACAATTACAAAAATGTTTTAAAAATTAGGATTATTGCCAAAAATTATCAAATTTTGAAGTAAAGGTCTAAAGATTTATAGACAGTCCATTGGTGAAGATTCTGAATAAACTAAAGGGGGGTATGGTGGCTGAATCGTTTAACGTATGTGTGTAGGGGTCTTTAGCAGTGGGAGAAAACCAAGGGATCCGGAGAAAACCCACGTGGTTGGACAGGCGACCCCTACTCCTTGTCACATACATGCGTTAAATTTAAACCACCCCTCTTAACTCAACGACAGATCTTATGAATTCACACCAAGCATTAGACCACAACCCTCATCTATCTGTCTCTCTCTGTCTCTCTCTGTGTGACTAAACTAACTGTATATTTATATATTTTTTCCAGGAATTGTTTTAAAGAAGCGTATGAATGTATACCACCTTTATCTGAAGAAGGACAAGAGTAAGTATTTTATCTTGTGAACCATCTACAGGCCAAGTTATCAATCGATTGACTTTCATTTTATTAAGTCTATTGATTTTCAATGGTTTCCAATAACATGATCCAATCTCGTGGATTTTCTCCGGGCCCTCCGATTTCCTCCCACTGGTTGTCGGCAGCCCTGCTGTCCAACCTTGTGGGTTTTCTCCGGGTTCTCCTAAAGACCCCTACGTGCAAGCGAATTATTGTAATAAAATTGAACCATGTGTTAGTCCCGAAACGACCTAGTTTGTGTCAAGTGAACAGTAAACCCCATTTCTCTCTCTCTCTTTTTGACTGTCCGGACGCCTTAGTTGCTGTGGGTGTATTTTTCGTTGCTTGGCAACATATCTTTGGTTCCAGTTATTAAGTTTCTAATGATTAGGCCAAAGAAGTCTGAAAATGAAATGAAATGGGGTTTATCATCCTTCTTTTTGCATGGACAGCGGCGCTACGGCCTACTCCAACGGTCAAGAGTTCTTTTAGGTACATGCCAATGTATGACAGGATCTCAGTTTTTCGTCCCATCCAAGCGACTATACGTTGTCCCTTGCCAGATCCTCCGTCCTAAACCACTGACACCACGTAAAACTCCTGATGAACTCTCTCGGCCAACACCCGGATCAATTTTCATTTTGAATATATATTTATAAATGTTCTGTAAGTAAAAACTTGGCAGGAAAACAAATTTGTAACTTGGAATATTTGTAAATTTTTCGTCGACATAAGAGATCTGTAATGGCAACAATTCACCGAATTTTTAAAAGGTGCAAATTAATGTCATAAAGCTTGATTTTCGCTTTGGATATATTTTGTTAATATGGACCAGATTTTAACTACGAGTTCCACAGTTTTATACAGCTGCGTTCTCATGTGGACGTGTATTATCGTTGCCCTTGTTCGGATGTCTGTGTGTCCGTTCACATTTTGTTTGTGGACACTCTACAGGTCACAATTGTTATCTGATTTATCTCCGTTACACACTATTGACGTTTGAGTTCGAATTCCATGAAAATTGATCTGAAAATGCCCGACAAAGTGGCCACTCCTTGTACGCAAATAGTGTAAAAGTATGTAATACGAAGGTGGTGGACCCTCCAGTAGTCACAATTTTTATCCGATTTTGATGAAACTCGGTTCCTGTCGATATTGATGCATCCTGGATTATGGCCCCTTATTGCACAAAAATAGCATTTTTAGCTTGTTCTCTGTCCATCTCTTGTAAAATTTGGTTAACTGCTTGTTTTTTAATATTTGAAATATATATTATTTTTTTTCTAGGATTGTGGTAAAATTATTATCGGAATTTAAATCAAAGATGACTGTACAACTGATGTGTTTTCAAACAGAAAAAAATTCAAGTTTCGCATGAAATAGTTTGTACCAACACAAATTTTAAAGAGTGAATGAAAGTGGGTATGGTTATAATGGACGTTTGTTTACAATTCACAGGTTCCTTTAAAATGTGTTTCTGATCAACAGTTACCTTATGTATTTACCTGTTATCACCTGTAATTCTAATAATAAATGATAAGACTTTTAAATGATGCTTTTTACAAAAACAGTTATAGCTTTCATTTAAGATGACTCGACTGTTTGAAGTTATATCTGATGGGTGTGCACATCAACAGGAGTAAAAAATGTTAAACTCTTTCTACTTGATTCTACTTCAAACACAGCACTGACTCCACCACACATCATTCTGTTAGCAGAATTTATATACATTGTAACTAAAGCTACCACAATAGAGTATCTTACAATTAATTATCTGTCACAATAGTGTTGCCTATGGTTACCAGAATGGGTTGTGTCACAGTAGAGTATCTTACTGTTGCCTATGGTTACCAGAATTGATACAATTCTGTAAATCAATATTATTGTTATTTTGAGTTATTATTTGTTAATACATGTATATATTGTAATATTATTTTGTAAAATATAAATACCTTTATATATTATTTAGTGCAATAAATAATACTATGGAATAACTCACATTGGTTGAATTACATACACCGTATGGGCAGGAATCAACCTTTCACGCCCAGTCCTCACCTCGTTGTTGTAAATTAGAGTTCTTGTTTCGATCCTTTTGTCCAGTGAAATTGACCTGACCGTCTAGATAATTTTAAATGTCCGTCAATTTAAAATAAGAATTTAGTGGAAGTTGACCTTAAAACACAATAAAAACAGGTAAATCTATAGTTTTATATGTAAAAACAGTTTTTTGAGAAAAAATTGGATAACGCAGAAAAATGTCAAATTCTTTGAAAATAAAAAAATACCTTGTTAATCTGAATTCAACAAAATACATCTTTAATTGACCACCGGCAAAATTTTTGGACAGTTGAATTACATATACCTCAAGGGCAGGGATCAACCTGTCAAACCATTGAGAAATGTATTCTTCAGGATTTTCAGTGTGGTTCCCCTGTTAGTGGTGCAGGACTGGGGATATGGCAAGGAACAACCTTTCAAAGTTCTAACCCAGTTTCAGGATGTTCAGTGTGGTTGCCCTGTTAGTGATGCAGGACTGAGGATAGGGCAAGGAACAGCAAGGATTGTGTCTAGTCCTTCGGATAGAACTAACCAGGAGGTTCCGGTGTTGGCTGGGAGAGAGAAATGGGGTTTAACGTCCACTCGACACAAACTAGGTCATTTCGTGACTAACATATGGTTTAATTTTATTTCAATAATTTGCTTGCGCATAGGTGTCTTTAGCAGTGGGAGGAAATCGGAGGACCCGGAGAAAATCCACGAGGTTGGACAGGCGACCCTACTCCTTGTTACATATAACTGAGGAATGGAAACCATGCCAGTTGACTCAATGACAGACCTTACGATACAGCGGGCCTGTGCTAACCATTCGGCCATTCAACCCCCCATATGACAATGAAGTACTGCTATAAAAAAGAACGTTTTGAGAACTCTGTCATTACAGGCCACCTAGATGCCCACCAGCAGCAGAGTCGTCCATGCTTAAACCTAAAGTTGTAAACAAATCCCTCAAAAAAAAATCTAAGTGTTAAAAATAATAAATGGTTGGAAACAAAACCCTGTTTATATCTGGTAAGGGACAAAATAACTGTTGGGCCTTTAGGTAAATTAAAAAAGTTTCCAATCTGCATACATAAACGGCTTATTCTGTTTGAGTCAGACATTGCGCTTGAAAGACAAATAGCCAATAAATAGGCATGGTCTGAATCAAAATATTGACCCTGTTATTGCTTTAAAAATGTCTGAGTGGCTGTTAAGATTATGAAATCAACAACATATCTAACCTGAAGCACCCCAACCCTTTTTACTTTGTTAAAAAATGTCCTTGAAAACTTTCAGGTGTCCACAAGAAATGCTCCACCTGGGCTAATGAAGACGGATATATGCCATACAGTGTGCTATGAGGGAATTTTAGTCTGGACAGCGGCGCTACGGCTTACTCTAAAATCGAATTGTAACTGCCAAGAGATCTTTTACGTGCACATGTGTACAATGTTTTAAGTATCATCCGAACCACTAAATGGCTGTCCTTGTCTTGCCCTCTGTCCTGCACCACTAATTGGGAGGCACCACGCCAGGAAATCCCAATGAACTTTCTCAAGAGCAAACCCGCGATCTCCAGACTAGCAAGCTAGCGTCTTACTTACTGAGTGACCGTGTTTCCCTGTCCAAAAGAGAGAGAAAAGTGAATATGAGCTGCGCTTTGACCCTATGAAGCACCACATGGTAACAATAAAACAGTACGACTCCATTTTAAATATTTATTTTTGTAATGATGTATCATAAGGAGGACATCATCTATCAAAATAACATTATACAATATATTTATATACATGAACATATTTATTTGTGGACAATCTAGTCTACTCAAATTTTTTATCATCCAGTAATTAAGACAGAAACATAATATTATGTTTAAAGCTCAATGAACACAAGAGTAAAACCAGCCGTCCAGACTCAATGTTATTGTTAAACAGCCTTGTTGAACTGTCAGTTTTACATCTGAAAGTCATTATGAATATTATTATGAAGATACTCCATAATATTAACATAAAGCATTGTGAATGATGTAAAGGGAAATAACTATGCATACAACGGATGGACTCAGACTAGTAATTATGTCAAAACCATCTGATGAAAATATTGATCATGTCAAAATAAATCTATAGGCTGTGACGTCTTCTTTCTTTACTTATTTACCCCCCTCCCTCCCCTTGCCTAAAAATCATGAATATTCATGGCCATGGAGAAGAGAAGAAACGAGAGAATGCTATAGATAGACGGACTACTGAGATAAGTGGATGCGATTACTAGTCTGATCCCGATCGACACTTTGACATAATGAACATAGTCCATATAATATATAGGTTAATTGTTATTAACATCAAACAGCATTGCCAGGAAACAAATATACCCTCAACAGCAACATTTTAAAGACTTTTAAATTGATGGACTTTTCAATACGGTTTCTCCTTCAGACTAGTCGATGAATTGAAAAACTTTCACCTGCAGAATATTTACAAGCATAAAGATGCATTATTTAAGATTTAGATAAAGATCTCACATTTAATGATGTACTGTCAATCGAGTTTAAATCCATTGAAAATCACAACCATCTGGTGGTCTAGAGAGTTGATTATGGGCCTGTCATGTAAATAAATGTCTCATTAATGATTTATAGAGTATTTGAGGCCAAACGAAAGATCTGCAAATGGCCGTTTTAACTCTTAGATAATGCATCTTTAAGGAGATAGTGGTAAACAAAGATCTAACAGTCGGTCACTAAAATGTAGAAACAGTTGCGCATAACAAAGTGCTATATACACTGTGAAACTGAAACCATTCATTTGTGAACAAAGGCCTTTTACTATTTAAGAGTTCTGCCATTAAATTATGCAAGCCATGATAACTCAGAACTAATTATAACACCCATCACTTTGAATAAACAAATATAGTGGCATGTATCAATCGTTAGTCACAGTTTAACACTTGAATGATATAACACCTACTTAATGACTTATATACAACACCTCCTTAATAAGCACTGCCTGATTACTAACAACTGATAACTAAACATAAGTCTAGAAAGTGATAACTTAGATCTGTTTGTAGCAGATAAATTCATTAATAAAGGACATGGGTTCATAATTGAAGGATATAAATTTTACAGTGATAAATAAACAATAACACATGTTGAAGTAAACGTAACAATAATATATCATATTACCACCAACAAAACAAACCACAAGATAAATTAAATCTGTCCAATTATCACTATGTATGAACAATAATGAGGTGCAATTATTTTTTAATACGTACGAATTTGAATATTTTTTTGATTTTTGTGTGTGGTCTAAAATCTGCCTGCTTAAATAACAATAAGAGTTATGACCCTTTATTTTCGGTAAAAATGTCCAACAAGAAATATTTTGAAATCCCATCACTGCTATTAACAGTGGTCAGGAAATTAAACACTTTTAAATTGAACACTCATTATCAAAATTGATTAGTCAGCTTTAAACTAGATTTGTTACTGAATTAATGTGAAAGAAATTAGTGCTAAATACACAAGATTAAATGATATCCAGGTTACGGTGAAAACAAGCTCCAAGATAAACTAAAACTATCCAATGATCACTATTAACAAAATTGAGTAATATTAATTCCATGTACATTGTTACATAATTTATTTTAGCTGATTGCGAAAGTAACCAGTGCCCTGTTTCTCGAAATCTTTACCAAAGATAAAATCCAAATTTTAGTAGATACTTAAATATTGATTGGCTTAGCACTAAAATCAATCTAATATTATCTAATCAAATTACTAAAATTTGGATTTTATCTTAGTTAAAATTTCGTGAAACAGACCCCAGGTTTTAATTAAGTCTGAAATATGCAATGTCTTAAGCTCAAGACAATTAAAAAAGTTAAAATACAGACATTCACACATGCTTTGCAATGTAATACGTCACACAGGTCCAAAATTTTAACTAGTATAAATAATGTACACTTGGCACACTGTCCGCACCATTGTTTGAAATAATGATACACCAACATCAAAGTATGACGTCACATCTGTATTTTAACAGTAAATATTGAACAAAAATTTCACACATTGTGGTTTCATTCAGCATCATCAGCAGCATAACAATTTTTTGCATATCTTGTTTGTTTGTATGGTTTTGTGTAATCAATTTTGCTCGACATCTTGTATCTTTATATGGTTTTGTGTAATCAATCTTGCTAGACATCGTGTATCTTTATATGGTTTGCTAGACATCTTGTATCCTTATATGGTTTGCTAAGAGTTTGGTTTAATCATCCACGCTTAGACATCTTGTATCCTTATATGGTTTGCCACGAATTTGGTGTAATCATCCCTCGTTAGGCTCTTGTATTTTTATATGGTTTGCCACGAATTTGGTGTAATCATCCACGCTAGACATCCTGTATCCTTATATGGTTTGCTAAGAGTTCGGCTTAATCATACCTCGCTAGACTCTCCAATGAGACAACTAACACAAGTAGCCGATTTTATGATTCAATATCTTTATATGGTTTGAATTTTGAAACGATTGGAGTAAAGAATCACAAATGACGATCACATATGACATATTAACTCAAGCCGGCAATCACTTGGACAGAAATGTTTTACGACTGATTCAATAAATATTTGTAAACGTATGATTAGTATTTGTCTATAATCAACTAGTCACAATTCTTTAAGGGATGGCCACATGACATGAGTAATCACTGCAGCTTATTGTTTACAGAAATGGTGCGACCAGCCCCTGAATATTATCACTGAATATTTATGTGTGCAATTACAGAACAAGATATTTTTTTAACGAGTGTTGAAGTATTTATAGTTGATATCGTGTGCTTAAAATTGATTCATTAGCAAATTTTTTTAATATGTACATTTGTCAGGAACTGAGCAGGACGTTATCATCGCCATCTTGGAATTGTGACATACCAAAAATCAAAGTCTGTCAATTGAGGCGCACTTGTCTAAGGAACAAAAGCGTGGCTCCCAAGAAAAGACAGAGAAGAGAAATGGGGTTTAACGTCCACTAGACACAAACCAGGTCATTTTAAACTAGCATATGGTGTAATTTTAATAATTCACTTGCACGTACATATAGGGGTATTTAGCCGTTGGAGGAAACCGGAGGATCCAACGAAATCCATGAGGTTGGACAGACTACCCTTCCCCTTTACGTATAAGTGAGGAATCGAAACAACGTCACTTGACTCAATGGCAGACCTTATGGTTTTACCACTAGACATTCCTCATCTCCCACTCCCGTAGTGCTTGGGGCTCTGTTCCCGATCTAAAGATTTTTATGTAGGCGCAGCCTAGTCCTATCTCTTATCACATATTTTTCTCAACAAAATAATGTTTTTAATAAAAATTCTGATGAAAGCAGCAGTTTATGATTTATATCGTATAAAACGGATCAGATTGGTTCTGGCTGTCGCAATTATTGGATATTTATCTCCCAGTTTCTTTTTCTGTAGGCTGATCTGTAAAATAAAACAAATTTTCTTAAGAGCACACATATAAACTAAAGATGCGTTATGTAACTGCATAGATATAAACAAAGATGCATTATGTAAGAGGACACAAATAAACTAAAGATGCATTATGTAAGAGGACACATATAAATCAAAGATGCATTATGTAAGAGCTAAATCTGTCTATTGTAGGTCTTTATCTTGGCTTCGAATGTTATAAAATTATTATTTAGACATTTATTAACATCAATAAAATGAAATGAAATGGGGTTTAATGTCCTACTCCAACTTGGCTATTAACATAACAAGCCTATAATAAAAACTCTAGACTATCGGATGGCTGAGATTTAAATGGATTTAAACATCCGCGAGATTTAAAAATTTAATGATAAAATGGACCATCGAGGCTAAGTCTCGGTTGTCATGTACCTCTGGTACGATAATGACTGATCTAAGCTAATACTACAAACAGTCATAACTTTGCTCAGAATAAAGTAATTTGATTGAAATTTTCAATATATTCGTTTTGCATTATCTATTTTTAAACTATTATAGCAAGAACGGCCAGCTCTTTATCTCAATCTTACATAACAGATCCATAACTAGGTTAATTGGACACTTTAATTGGACACAAAAAATTCTGTAAGCTAGATCAGTAAAGAGTGGTATCAGGTCTTCCAGAAAAAGTATGCAATTCCCTGGTGTAGGCAATTTGGATTAAAAAGGGTAGCCATTCACAAATCAACATTCAAATTTGTCTACCTTCAATTAACAAGCGGTTGCTATGCAAGATATGCCCACCCTCATTTTCCAAGAGATAGACAAGTGCTGAGAAAACCTCATTTTAAAAACACTGTAGCCTTGATAGTCATTGTTACCACTGTAATGATAATAAAGTAAGTCTCGATTATCCATTTTTGCGGTTAATCATCAATGGGCATTGAACAGCAGATCTGATTCAAATCCAATGAAAATCGAACACATAAGATGGCATCAAGAGTGGATTATGGTCTTGTCATGTTAATAAATGTCTAATTAATAGTTTATATAACATTAAAGACCTATAGAAAGACCTGCAAAAGGGTGATTTAGCTCTTGCATAATGTATGTTTAAATAATCAATTTAGCGTGGATTAAGCCATGAGTAATGATAGACGGACGGACGAACAAACAGACTCATTTTAACCCGTTAAGTGCGTAGGTTGTTATATAACGTCCTGGACAACTGCCACTCACAGTATGTAGGGCGTAATATAATGCCTTGGAGGTATTTTCCCCAACCTATTCTTAGAACATAGTTCGTCACTTGGGGGAATCCCTTGGGAATTCCCCCACAATCGCAGCATGTGTAGGACGTTATATTACGTCCTGGACAACGGCCACTCACTGTGTGTAGGGCGTAATATAATGTCTTGGAGGTATTTTCCCCAACCTATTCTTAGAACATAGTACATAGTTCTTCGTCACTTCGTCAAATTAATTACACAATAGGGGGTAGTTAACGTTTTAATAGTTAATAGTCCCCTGCTTCAAACATTGTCCAGAAATCTACAAACCAACAAAATACTTACCTTAGCTTTCAGTGGAGGTAATATTGTACGCAGTTTTTGAATCAGGTCAATTTCTTTAACAATTGAATCGATGTGATCTTCTCCAAACACATCAAATATAGAATCAAGAGCCTCGGCAACCACCCATAAATCTTGATCTTTACAATTCTCAACCAAAAATAACCCAATATCCTGAAACAACAAAATTAAATTATAACAAATAACTAAATATCCTAAAACAACAAAATCAAATTATAACAAATAACTCAACACCAAAATCAAAATGATTGAACAAAATAGGGTTTAACGTCCTACTGTTCTGCTCCAATTGGGTTAATGAATACAGGTATACACCGTACTGTGGGCTATGAGGAACATTTTACTCATAAAGTGCCGCTATGACCTACTCTTACATCGAATTCCAACTGTCAAGGGATCTTTTACATGTATGTGCACGCCAATGTGTACACGGCACCTCGGTTTTTCATTCCATCTGATCAACTAGACAGCTGTCCTTGTCAAGCCCCCCATCCTACATCACTGACAAGGAGGAACCATGCCGGAAAATCTTGATGAACTTTCTCGGCCAATGCAGGGATCAAACACCCAATCTCCAGCCTAGCGAGCCAGTGCCTTACCCCCCTTAATTTTAAGAAATTGAAGCTAAGCTATTACATACCTTTAGTGCGCCTTACCCACTTAGCCTCCTTTAAGAAACTGAAGCCAAGCTATTACATACCTTTAGTGCGCCTTACCCACTTAGCCTCCTTTAAGAAATTGAAGCTAAGCTATTACATACCTTTAGTATAGGATGTGGTTGTATATTGGTTGCTAGGAGACATCCAACTGTTGCTATGATTCTAATCGTATTAACTCGTATTGATGTACAATAACTGGATTTTCCCATCGTATATAGAAACTGTAGATCATTGGATGTTACATCTGAAAACTACAATAAAAACTCTTCAAATCAAATTAACAAGTTGTCTGAGGGTGGGAGGGGGGTATACTCAAGCAAACCAAAAACAACAAGAAGTTATTTGAATCAAAACACAACAGGATTAATAACCATGATTTTCCTGGGTTGTTGGTATGCTTGGGGGAATCTAGATCACAAGAAGACTTTGACTTCAATATGAAAAAAAACCTACAATTTTGTTTCCATAGGAACAGAAATATCTATCTATTATAATACATATTATAGGTTATGTGCGTACAAAGTTTTATAAAGACATCTTGAACAGTTTATGAGATAAAACTCTGGGACAACCAGAAATCATGTCTTCATTACAAATGTTTTATTTAAAGTTACCTTTGGTGACTTGAGTTGTGCTAGTTTTTGTATTACAGCTCTCATGGCACTTGTTACAGCTTCTAAAAAATTCTTATCTTCAGTTGCTACAAAAATCAGATAAGATACAATATAATACAATAAAAAATACTAAAAATAATATAAATACATATCTTTTTTCCAGTAGCTATAAAATAAAATAATAAAAATAACATAAAATAAAACAAAATAAAAAAAATTTAAAAAATAAAATAAAACAAAAAGAAATCTTCAGCTAGAAAAGAGGATAAATATCTAAGAGAGAGAGAGAGAGAGAGAGAGAGAGAGAGAAATGAAATTTTGTTTCCATTTGAAAATTTCATTCAAATTACTCTTTTGCAAGCGAAGATATTAGCCTTTGGAGGTTTGGCAAGATGCGTGCAATAATTGCAACCACCATACTGGTTAATCTTTAAGTGGCATTTAGCGATTCGGAAACGCATTAACAGAACACAGTTTTTATGGGAAACAGTGATTTTTTCCCATAAAAACTGTGTTCTGTTAACCATACTGGTTGTTCGAAGCTAAGTCTCGCTCCTCCATTTTAAGCTTAAATCAAAATATGACTGAACTGTTCGATTCTATTTAATATCGGAGAAATCTGATACCATCGGAGTTGATAATGGTCTGGATCAGTTAATTAATGTCTAATTAAAAATTTAGAAACCATTTCAGGCCTAAAGAAAGACCTGGGGCCTATTCCTAGAAAATTCTTAAGCACGTTCTTGTGCTTAGATTTTAAGTAGACTTCGTTATAAGCACAAGAACGTTATTGTGCGTTCCAAGAAAAAACTTAAACACAACTTCGTTCTTAAACATAGTCAATCCAAGCACAAGTCCCAAGCAAGGTATACGGCTTGCTTACCAACCTTAAGTCTGTTTCTGTTTCAAAAAGATGACTGACCGTAGAGTTATTCGACGTCATTTCCGAAACCTTTTGATACCAAAGAGACAATTACAAGACAGAGAAAATCCTTCTCCAAAAGAAATTAAGAATGCTATAGAAAATTTCGCTTCTATCCTGAAACCATTTTATTTATTTGCCAATCAGTAAACAATAGGCTACAAACACACAGGCTACTTTAAGATCAGGCGATCTCACAATTATTCAGTTAGTTTGTATGCGTCTGCGTTTTTTATCTTGTGGCACATTTTATATGTGTATAGGGGACATGTCAAATGCATCTTAATCAACCATATGTATATGACGTCAATGAAGCAGACGACAAATTTATGACGTTATTCGCATACCAAAGTTGTTTTTATGACATTATAGAGCATCGTAGTCTCAGTTTATGGTTAACTTTACCAGTCACAATGTGCTTAGACTTATACTTGACTTGTGCTTACGTCAGAATGGTCTTGAGAATTTTCTAGGAATGGTATTTTTATAAGTTTCTTACGTACGTAAGAAAAAGGGAAGCATGACTTTGTGCTTATTTTAAGAATTTTTGAGTAGGTATACATATAAGGTATGTATAAATTACCTTGTTTTGAAGTGGATAATTTAGCTAAACCTTCCCAGACAGTTTCCAGTTTGTTTAAACCACCAAGATCGTTAGCATCCATTGCGTTTACCATATTATGAGCTGACAATAAACTATGAACTTGAACTTGGGAAAAACTAAAACAAAACAAAACAAGGATACTTTAATGCAGACATGTTTTAACAGTAGATTATACCCTGTCTGACGTGTGACGGGGTTTAACGTCCTACTGTTCTGCTCCGTACTAGGCTAATGAAGACGGGACTTTATAACACCCTTGATTTACACTTAGAACTTGTGTCAGAGTTATTTCCTGAAGTATGGATCTTGATTATCCAGTGTATTTTGATCAAGACTACAGCTGAATGGCTGGTGCATACCAAATCAAGTTTATAAAATGTAAACTGAAGAAATGAAATGGAATGGGGTTTAACATCCTACTGTTCTGCTCCGAACTGGGATAATATAGACAGGCATACACCATTCAGTGTGCTATGAGGTAAATTTTGCACGGACAGCGACGCCATGGCCTAATTTTATATCCAATTCTAACTGCCAAGCGTTCTTTTATGTGCACACTGCACTGACAATAAATAAGCTTTTTCGGCCAACGCAGGGATCGAACACGGGACCTCAAGGTTAGCCGGCAAACGTCTTTACTCACTGAGCCACCATGTCTCCTACTACAGGTAGAATGAGAGAGAGAGAGAGAGAAATGGGGTTTAACATCCCCACGACACAAACTAGGTCATTTTGGGACTAACATATGGTTTGATTTTATTTCAGTAATTTGCTTGCGATTTGGGGTCTTTAGCAGTGAGAGGAAACCGGAGGACCCACAAGGTTGGACTGGCGAACCTACTCCTTGTCACGTTCAACCGGGGAATCAAAAGAGAGAGAGAGAAATGGGGTTTAACGTCCACCCGATACAAACTAGGTCATTTTGGGACTAACATATGGATCAATTTTATTTTTAAAAAAATGTGCTTGCGATTTGGGGTCTTTAGCCGTGAGAGACCGGAGAAAACCCACAAGGTTGGACAGGCAATCCTACCCCTTGTCACGTTCAACCGGGGAATCAAAACCACGCCAGTTGACTCAATGACAGACCTTATGATACAGCGCGCACGTGCTAACCATTCGGCCATCCACCCCCCCCCCCCCTAAAAGTTTAATGCGCCTCGAAAAGACGTTTTTCAACCAGGTAGAGTGAACAAAACGAGATATATTTACCTTCTTATAACTTTTCGACCATCTTGCGATGCCTCTAGAATATTTTTATTGTCTTCTGATAAACATTCAGATTTATTTAATAACTGTAATAAAAAAGAAATGAAAATGAAATAAAATGGGGTGTAACATCCTACCGTTCTGCTCTGATTGGACTAATGAAGATGGGCAAATGCCATACAGTGTGCTATGAGGGAAATTTTGCCCGCATAACGGCGCTAAGGCCTACTCTTATATCGAATTCCAACTGACAAGGGAACTTTTCAGTGTATGCCAATGTGTACACAGGACCTCATGTTTTTCATCTCATCCAAATAACTAGACGGGTGTCCCTGTCGGGTTGTCCTTCCATATTTTGAGTGTGTGATAGGATAAAAGCTTTATTTTAGATTTTTTATATGGATATTTCAATTCTGACAGTATTACAAGAACAATTAAATAAAAATTATAACCCACCTTTGTAAAAATATCATTATTAATGAACTGTGAATGAACTTCACTTGACAAACATAACTGTGACTGAAAAAATACAGAAATATAATACAATATAGTGAGATACGATAGGAAATATAATACAATATAGTGAGATACGATAGGAAATATAATACAATATAGTGAGATACGATAGGAAATATAATACAATATAGTGAGATATGATACAATATAGTGAGATATATATTAAGGAAATATAATACAATATAGTGAAATACAAAAGGAAATATAATACAATATAGTGAGATATAATACAATATAGTGAGATATATATTAAGGAAATATAATACAATATAGTGAAATACAAAAGGAAATATAATACAATATAGTGAGATACAATAGGAAATATAATACAATATAGTGAGATATGATACAATATAGTGAGATATATATTAAGGAAATATAATACAATATAGTGAAATACAAAAGGAAATATAATACAATATAGTGAGATACAATAGGAAATATAATACAATATAGTGAGATATGATACAATATAGTGAGATATATATTAAGGAAATATAATACAATATAGTGAAATACAAAAGGAAATATAATACAATATAGTGAGATACAATAGGAAATATAATACAATATAGTGAGATACGATAGGAAATATAATACAATATAGTGAGATACAATAGGAAATATAATACAATATAGTGAGATACGATAGGAAATATAATACAATATAGTGAGATACAATAGGAAATATAATACAATATAGTGAGATACGATAGGAAATACAGTAAACCTCGCATAAATCGGATCTAAGTGGACTGGCCAATTTTATCCGAGTTATGCGAAGATCCAAGTTAGCCGAAGACCAAAATTCAATCTTAGCCCGATTAAAAATAAACTGCAAGAGCCGGAAAATAATTGATTCAAAGGCACATTTCAAGCTTTTGTTTGGGTGTGCAAGTAGATAACTTCTGTTTTGGGGCGAGTAGATAACTTCTGTTTTGACGCCCTCTTTGGAAAATGTCCCAAATTTTCCTGGAAAGTGTCTCGTACGGCAGACAGCGAGTTTCGAATTTTCTGTGAAAATTCTATTATTGCGTCGCGTCAATATGGCTGATTTGAGTCCAAATGATAGGGGAAAGTATTTTGGATCTCTGTGCATGGAACAGCTAACCGTGTTTTAGACCATCGGGACAAAACCGGCTTAGTCAAATTCTGAAGTTACGCGCAGAAATTAAATAGAAAAACAAGCGGGATCAAAGGGTCCAAACCTTTTTATCCGAGTTGAGCGAAGCTTTGGCTTATACAAATCCAACTTATGCGAGGATTACTGTATAATATAATATAATATAGTAAGGGGAGTCGAAATCTAGCCACTTAACTCAATGACAGACCTTTTGATCTAACATGCACGTTCAGTTACCTACCCTGAACATTACCTACAAGATTTCAGATATAAATAAAGTGAGTTGATGTGTAACTTACAAAATTGTCTTCCATTTCTTCATCATTTTGTAAATCTTCTGTTGAACTGGATTCGTGTAATTCTTCAGACTCATCATCTAAAATATAACAAAACATTGGATAAAATTTGAAAAAAAACCTGTCAAAATCTACAGCCGCTATCACATTCACAAGGTTTTCTGCAAAAGGGAAATAACTCTGGAATGGAAAGTCTCAAAATGCTGAAAATCTATAGGGTTTGTTCTGAAAAGTGAGCATATAAATATATTGTGTAAGTCGGTACATTTGTTATTAAAATAAAATTATCTAGCTCCTTCGGTCATTCATCTCAGCTGTGGAATTTCATTTATAGGATTTTAAAATTCTTGCAAACTACAATATTGTGAATGTTGAATCTCTATCAGTCCAATAATAATTTCATTCCATTCAGCTTTTACAAAAATGTACTTAACGAAAAATTTCTCCAAATAGGGCATCCTCCACATACAATATAATATGAACAATCTGCCAACATTTCTTGCATCGCTCTTGACTAAAGACATGAAATGAAATGAAATCTGATTTAACATCCTACTGTTCTGCTCCGACTGGGCTAATGAAGACGGGCACACGCCATATAGTGTGCTATGAGGGAAATTTTGCCCAGGCAGCGGCACTATGGCCTACTCATATATCGAATTCCAACTGCCAAGGGATCTTTTACGTGCACGCCAATGCATACTCGGGACCTCGGTTTTCTCTCCCATCAGAACGACTAGACAGCTGTCCTTGTCAGGCCCTCCGTTCTGCATCACTGACAAGGGGAAACCGCGCCTGGGAAATCTGGATGAACTTTCTCGGCCAATGCAGGGATCGAACACCCGATCTCCAGGCTAGCGAGCCAGCGCCTTACCCATTTAGCTACCTTAACCCCCTGACTAAAGACAAAGAATAATCGTATGTTAGCCTTTATCTCCCTTTCCATCATTTAAATCTTAAATAAATATTTTCTTACCATCAGAACAACATAAATTAGCAACAATTTCTGCACTAATTCTTTGAGCTGTTAATAAATTATCTATTTCTTTTAATAGTTTCTGAAATAAAAAGAAATGGATAAATTATTAATTGCTGAGAGTTTACTTTATTCTCCATAGGGGCCACAGTGGATCAGAGAGTAAGGAAATTAATTGGGTTTAACGTCATACTGTTCTTCTCCGACTGGGCTAATGAAAATGGACATACGTCATACAGTGTGCTATGAGGAAATTTAGCCCTGACAGCGGCGCTATGGCCTAGTCTTATAAGGAATTCCAACTGTCAAGGGTTCTTTTACGTGCACACCAATGTGTACACGTGACCTCAGTTTTTCATCCCATCAGAACGACTATACGCTGTCCTTTACCAAACCCTCCATCCTGCACCACTGACAAGGCGGAAACAATGCCGGAAAATCCCCATGAACTTTCTTGGCTACTGTAAGTATCAAACAATGGACCTCCAGGTTAGCGAGCCAAGGTCTTACTCACTGAGCCACTGTGGCTTCCCAGTGAGTAAGGAGCCGACTCACTAACCTATAGGTCCAGAATCCACCCACATGTTGGCCGAGAAAGTTCCCAGTGAATTTCCAGCATGGTTTTCCCCTTGTCAGTCAGACGACCTGGCATGAAACCGGAGCTGTGTGCATTTAAAACAACTCTCATAGCACACCCTATATCGTATACCTGTCTTCATTAGCCCAGTTGAAGCAGAGGAGTAGGACATTAATCCCAATTTCATTCTTTCCTTCTATAACAGTCATATTATTTTGCTGATGTTATGTAAGTATGGAATCCATATCTTCTGGAGTCTGATCTATAAAAGGTGGGGTGGATAGCCTAAAGTGGTTAGCACGTGCGCGCTGTATCATAAGGTCTGTCATCGAGTCAACTGGCGTGGTTTTGATTCCCCGGTTGAACGTGACAAGGAGTAGGATTGCCAGTCCAACCCCATGGGTTTTCTCTGGGTCTTCCAGTTTCCTCCCACTGCTAAAAAACCCTATGCGCAAACAAATTATTGAAATAAAATTGAACCATGTGTTAGTCCCAAAATGACCTAGTTTGTATCGAGAGGACTTTAAACCACATTTCTCTCTCTATAAAATGCAATTTATAGAGCAGTGTCCGAAGCTAGACAAAAGGCATTGCAATTACATTATTTTCAGAATAGCATAATTCAAACTTACCGATGTTTCTGTCTCTTCTGGTGTCAAAGCTATAGAATGGTCACTTGTCTCACTTATAGCCTGTAAAATATATACAAATCGTTAACACTATCATTAATATAGGCCTAGCCTGTTCCTCAATCCTTCTCTGAGAATGAAATATTGTTTATAAAAAAAAAAGTTACACATGCGTTGCCGAAGGATAACACCTTTATAACCAAAGGATAACACTGTTATTACCAAAGTATAGTACATTACACTGTTATTAATAAAGGATAACACTGTTATTACCAAAGGATTACCAAAGGATAGCAGGGTTATTAACAAAGCATAACACTGTTATTACCAAAGATTTATCAAATGATAACACTGTTATTACCAAAGGATAACACTGTTATTATCAAAGAATAACACGGTTATTACCAAAGGTTTACAAAAGGATAACACTGTTATTACCAAAGGATAACACTGTTATTACCAAAGGATAACACTGTTATTACCAAAGGATGACACCGTTATTACCAAATGATTACCAAAGGATAGCATGGTTATTAACAAAGCATAACACTGTTATTAACAAAGGTTTACCAAAGGATAGCACTGTTATTACCCAAGGATAGCACTGTTATTACCCAAGGATAACACAGTTATTAGCAAAGGATGACACTGTTATTAAAGAAGAGCACTGTTATTACCCACGGATAACACAGTTATTACCAAAGGATAATACTGTTATTACCAAAGGATAGCACTGTTATTCAAAAAGCAAAACACTATTATTACCAAAAATTAACCTGGTTAGCTCCAAAGGGTAACATCAGCTGACAACAGTTCGGGAGTCGAGACGGCGAGGTCACTTGATTTAACAAGAAGTCTATGAAAATTTGGCTGGTGACGTACACTGAATGCGCCGCTTTGGCATACATGTCAAAGAGAACTGCCATAAAACACTAATCATAAAGTGTTAAAACCAAATGTTTTGAGGTTGAATTGGCGCTTGTAAAACCAGATGTTCATATGTCATTTTATTTTTCTCAGTAATATTATTAACTAGTAGGATACCCAGGCTTCACCTTGGGTCGAAATTCGCCCAGGGGTCACAACTCTGAGACTGGAAGTGGTAGGTCATCGCCACTAGGCATATGTTACGCCCTGGTCTGAGCTACCCCTTTACACCAAATTCAGCCTCAGGACAGCTGTAGTGTAGCCGATAACCCTGAACAAACGACGGTCACAAATATTAGTATAGATACTAATTTTCTGCTTATTTTGCAGTCACTTACTGATAGTCATAATTACAAGAATACTGTTTTTGATTAAAACATGTCTTGTAGGGGTCTTTAGCAGTGTGAGGAAACCGGACGACTTGAAGGAAACCCATGAGGTTGGACAGGCGACCATACTCCTTGTCACGTACAACCGGGGAATCGAAACCACGCCAGTTGACTCAATGACAGACGTTATGATACAACGTGCAAGCGCTAACCATTCGGCCATCCAACCCCCCCATCCAGATAGAATATAAAAGATTTATGTTTTCACTATAAAATTTGATATGTAGCTGTTGTATATTACTTACGGAAGCTCCTGCCTCTTCCATTGGTACTGGTGCAGCATCACCACTTCCATTCTACAAGAAAAATAAAACTATAATTTTATATATTGTATTGTAACATGTTACTGTGTAGTGATCTGTGTAATGGCTAGGGGGAGAGAGAGAGAGAGAGAGAGAGAGAGAGAGAGAGAGAGAGATGGGGGTTTAATGTCCACATGGAGGTAATTTCAGGACTAACACATGTTTCAATTTTATTTCAAAAATTCGCTAGCATGTAGGGGTCTTTAGCAGTGGGAGGAAACGGGAGGATCCGGAGAAAACACACAAGGTTGGACAGGCAACCCTACTCCTTGTCACGTACAACCAGGGAATCGAAACCACGCCAGTTAACCCAATGACTGACCTTATGAAACAGCGCGCACATGCCAACCATTCGGCAATCCCAATCTCTATAACAGATAGATAAATAATATTTTACGAGAAAACCTACCTCTTGTATTTTCACTTCAACTGTTGATATTTTATCGACTATATTTACATCTAAAACATCGCCAGCTGATTTCAAAATGGCTGATATAATACATCCAGCAGTTGATGTCAATTCATCTCCACAGACATTTATCATTATACCTTGAATAAAACAAAATAGTAATAAAATATATCCTTATATCTTCAATTACTAAAGCCAAACAAAATAAATATATCCTTATACCTTCAATACACAACAAAATACTCAGGCCAAACAAAATAAATATTCTAGACAGAATAGAGAAAAAGGGTTTAACTTCCACTCTCCACTCGACACAAACCAGGTCATTTCTGGACTTACATATGGTTCATTTTTATTTCAATAATTTGCTTGTGCGTAGGGGACTTTAGCAGTGGTAGGAAACCGGAGGACCCGGAGAAAACCCACGAGGTTGGACAAGGCGACCCTACTCCTTGTCAGGTACAAACAAGTGGGTAAGACGCTGGCTCGCTAGCCTGGAGGTCGGGTGTTCGATCCCTGCATTGGCCGAGAAAGTTCATCTCGATTGTCCGGCGTGGTTTCCCCTTGTCAGTGATGCAGAATGGAGGGCCTGACAAGGACAGCTGCCTAGTCGTTCGGATGGGACGAAAAACCGAGGTCCTGTGTACACATTGGCGTGCACGTAAAAGATCCCTTGGCAGTTGGAATTCGATATAAGAGTAGGCCGTAGCGCCGCTGCCCGGGCAAAATTTCCCTCATAGCACACTGTATGGCGTATGCCCGTCTTCAATTAGCCCAGGTTAGGTGCAGAAGAGTAGGACGTTAAACCCCATTTCATTTCATTTCTCTCCACTCGACACAAACCACGTCATTTCTGGACTTACATAGGGTTCATTTTTATTTCAATAATTTGCTTGTGCGTAGGGGACTTTAGCAGTGGTAGGAAACCGGAGGACCCGGAGAAAACCCACGAGGTTGGACAAGGCAACCCTACTCCTTGTCAGGTACAAACGGGGAAGGTCGAACCCACCTCGGAAAATAACCTTTAAAAAATTCATATCCTACCAGTAACTAAAGTTCTAAGAAGTAGAGAATCGGACGTATCACATGACATACAAGCTAACTTCTCTAGATTACCCATAATACCATTTTCTTTACAGAACGTTGCCACCTGTTTGTTATCTTCGGCAACCGTATGCAGACACTGAGCTGTAAACAAAATAATACGATACGTACACATGTACATTATGACATCAACAGTATACATACACTGAGTTATAAACAAAACAATGATAGGTACATTATGACATCAAAGAGAGGGAACGAGAAATGGGGTTGAACGCTTACTTGACACAAACTAGGCCATTTTGGGACTAACATATGGTTCAATTTTATTTCAATATTTTGCTTGCGTGTAGGGGTCTTTACCAGTAGGAGGAAACCATGTGATAGAACTGGTTAAGCATGTTCAAATATAGTTTTAACACAAAGATCATTGCTACGGTAGATACATAAGGAAGATTTCAAGAAAGGGAAGTGACGAACGCAAAAGGAAATCACAAGTTATCCTTCTAAATAACTGACTGAAGTGACGAGTGATAACAGATACACGAGCAAATTTCTGCTCACTAATAATTCCTTCGAAGACCAAAGGTTGTTATATGAGACTGTGAGAGGATATCTGATAATTCCAAAAAGTAATTGAATGTTGCACCACTTGAATCATCACACCACTTGACTCATCAAACCACTTAACTCATCACACCACTCAACTCATCACACCACTTGACTCATCACACCACTTGACTCATAGCACCACCTGACTCATCGCACCATCTGACTCATCACACTACTTGACTCATCACACCACTCAAATCATCACGCTACTTGACTCATCACGCCACTTGATTCATCACATTTGAATCATCACACTACTTAACTCATCATGCTACTTGACTCATCACACCACTTGACTCGTCACACCACTTGAATCATCGAACTAATTGACTCATCACACCACTTGAATCATCACGCTACTTGACTCATCATGCCACTGGAATCATCACACTACTTGACTCATCACGCCACTTGATTCATCACATTTGAATCATCACACTATTTGACTCATCACGCTACTTGACTCATCACACCACTTGACTCATCACACCACTTGAATCATCAAACTAATTGACTCATCACGCCACTTGATTCATCACACCACTTGAATCATCAGGCTACTTGACTCATCACGCCACTTGATTCATCACACCACTTGAATCATCACACCACTTGACTCATCAAGCCACTTGACTCATCGCACCACTTGACTCAACACACCACTTGAATCATTACAGACCTTATGATCTAACATTCACCCATTAGACAACTCAATCACCCATCTGCCCATTACTAAAGACTTTGTATGGTTTTATCAATAATATACTTACCAACAGCTAGAGATAACGGGTAAGTATATACATCATAATTTAAACAAGGTAGAAGGCACTCAATTAAATTCTCTTTATTAAATATCTTTACTGCAATATCACAACTCTCACTGAAAATATAAAATATCACAGCTATCACCGAAAATATATTGATATAAAATATCACGACTCTCAATGAAAATACAAAATATCACAACTATTGCCGAAAATATATTGATATAAAATATCACGACTCTCACTGAAAATATATTGATATAAAATACAGATGTGACGTCATCCTTTGATGTTGGCATATCATTATTTCAAATAAGGGTACGGGCAATGTGCAAAGCATACATTATTTATACTAGTTAAAATTTTGGAACCGTGTGACGTATTTCATTGCAAAGCAGGTGCGAGTGTCTGTATTTTAAGTTGTTTAATGGTCTCGAGCTTATGACATTGCGTAATATTATTATTATTATTGTTTGATTTATATAGCGCTTCATTACACATGAGTATTTCTAAGCGCATTCACAACAAAACAGTTCACAACAAAACATTTTTGAAATAAGTATGTTTTTAAGTTAGTCTTAAAGGTCTGGATGGAAGAGGATTCTTGAAGAGTTTTTGGAAGATCATTCCACATTTTAGCTGCTCTGACGGAGAAAGCATATTCACCAGAACGCTTATTATATTTGGGGATCCTCAATATGCTACGATAATTTGACGAACGAAGGTTGGATCGCTGGGGAGTATAGAAATCAAAGAGTTCTTTTAAATAACTGGGTGCAGTGTCAGAATAAATTGATTTAAACACATTCACAAGAGCTTTAAATTGAACCCCCGCTCGAACTGGAAGCAAATGGAGTTTCTGTAACTTAGCTGATATATGATCAAATTTTCGTGTTTTAGTTGTAAGACGTGCAGCATTGTTTTGCGCTATTTGTAGTCTGTTTAAAGCTGTTTCTGGTGCTCCTAATAGAAGAGAATTTGCATAGTCCATGTGTGATGTTACTAATGCTCTAACAACACTCTGGCAAGCATCAGTATTAAGATTAGAGCGTATTGTCGAAATAGCTCTCATTTGATGATGCATTTTCCGTATGATACTATTGATTTGGGGAACTGTTGAAACAACGACTCATCACTAACGTTACTTGTGTTGTTTCAATATATTACTTAATGTCTCACTCTCGGCCATTAAACCAAATATAAAATATCACCATTGCAAATATTGGATTATAAAACAAGAGGGGGTTGAAGAGAGTTAAATCTCTCCGAAATACAAAGTAGAAAATTTGGAAAATAACAAATAGTAACAAATGCTTGATAAAGACGAGAGTATAATCGCCGAAACGTTGCATGTTAATAAACCAGTAATTGTTATTCAATAAATAGTGTTTAGTGTGACAAATAGTACATATTTACTGCAATAACTTACTTCTTGTTGTAGTGGTGTTTAGCGGGAGGTGGGAGGATACCCAGGGACCTAGAGAAACCCGACTCCTCCTCACATAAAAGCGTGGGATCTAAACAAAGTGACATCATTCAATGATAGAACTTAAAGCGCAAACAGTCAACCATGGGCGCAGATCCCGGTGGGGACACCGGGACGCGTCCCCACCAATATTTTTAGTGGTGGGGACATGATATACTGTGTCCCCACCACTTATTTCTGATGTTTTGCTTACTGTTTATTTTTTGAAATTGAAATCATTCCAGGGCTTTTATTAATATTTCAGAAAGTGTAGAGTTAGTCCCAGGCACTTGAGGCCAGGGTCCTTGAAGTTATACAGCTGCAACCGGTGACCGATTTTTATTTAACAGGGAATAAGTGATAATTCATATTATAACAGTAAATAATTAAAATATTCCATAGGGATTATAATAATATGTATCTCACGTAGGTGTGCATATCTGAGACGCTGGGTATTAAAGGAATAATTGAGATTTTGTTTTTATCTGGTATACTGGATAATAAATCACCAAATTAAAGGATTTAGTTTGTATATCAGGGGAACCCTTCATTGCCAGATTTGCTGCCATATTAAATAAACATATTTTTAAAGACTGGTTTCTATCTCTCTCTGTGGAATATAGGCAATTAAATCTAAAATTTAAGACTCAAACCCTCTATCTTTTGGAGTACAGTAAGCTGGGCCAAGAATCGTGTACTTATTATTACAAGTAAGTGAAGTTTTTTTGCTGTTTTGAAGATGGTTTAGAAATTTAGGAAATTTATCGGAAAAGACATTTTTTAAAACCTGTCATGGGCCGGCCAGAAAGAAATTTATCGGAAAAAACATTTTTTAAAACCTGTCATGGGCCGGCCAGAAAGAAGTCAAAAGGGAAAAGAAATGGGCAGAATGGATATAATTAAAGTGTACTGTTCTTTAGTTTTAAATATATTAAACAGTTTATTGAATGTTTTTTTTCGATTAGAAAATTGCTCTCTGAACTATTTTGTTATTGGTAAAAACTCCTCAGAATCGCTGAGAATGCATATTTAGACACCATTTTGTAACAAAAATTCAAAAAATTGTAAAAGACCCCACCCCACCCCACCTCTAGCAGCTCACGCCAGCGGCATTCGGTTATATAGTCGGTACTTTTGTTTCACAAACGAACCCGCCCACCTTGCTCCAGCCTACGGGCCCGACTCTGTATGAACACTTATAAATTTCTAAAGAAAATATTCTTTAAATTATTATTTGGATCTACACTGAATGAATAATACAGTAAAATGTTACATTTATTTCAATTGGGATTGAATATTGATATGTTTAGTTGTGTGTGTAGCTTGTTTTAGTTTTATAAATTAAAAGATTTGTAGGCCTGTACATTTGTGTATCCAATTGAATACACATTTTGTCAAAGACTTTACGTAGTCTTCGAATACTACTAGGAATGGAGGCGGAGCTGGAATCTCAGTAGTGTAAATTTTTTCTAGTTCTTGTAGTGTACATGAGAGAATAAATCGTGAACGGTGGCTTGAAGATTTGTCTTTGGATTAGATTTCGTATCATTTGCTGCCTCAGGAATTAGAATTGTTTGCCAGAAAATGATGCTGAAAATACCCACAGAGTGCGTTTTAGAGCGCCTAGTTTTCAAAAAATTTCGGGGGAGGACTCCCGAACCCCCCTCTTTACCAATAGTCGCCCGCGCATGAACTGTCCCCATCACTAATTTTTGGCGATCTGCGCACCTGCAATCAACCAAGGGTTTACCGATAATGAGCGTTTTTGAAAATGTTATTTCCAACTTAGACCTTGGTCTGGTCCATCATGCAAGGTTTTAAAGATTTTTTAACTGTTTTAGGTCAACTACGAATGTTAGAGATCCTTGACAGTTGAAATTTAATAAAAAAAAAAAAAAAAAGTTATCTGGGGAAAACCTGCCTCTTTAGCATTGCATATGTGACAGAGAGAGAGAGAGAAATGGTGTTTAACTTCCACTCAACACAAACTAGGTCATTTCGGGACTAACATATGGTTTAATCTTATTACAATAATTTGCTTGCGCGTAGGGGGTCTTTAGCAGTGGGAGGAAACCGGAGGACCCAGAGAAAACCCACGAGGTTGGACAGGCGACCCTACTCCTTGTCATGTACAACCGGGGATTCGAAACCATGCCAGTTGACTCAATGACTGGCTTTTTAATACAGCGCGCACATGCTAACCATTCAGCCATCCAGCCCCCCTGCACATGTGACAAAAGAAAAATATTAAGTATATATGTTAGTAACAAAATAACCAAAACATTTTGTTGACGAGACGTTTAACCCAATTCATTCTATTTTAGCTTTTTGATACTAATATTACTAATTCCTAATTTGAGTATTCGATAAAAACTTAATTTTTAAGAATTCAGCCCTTTCATTGGCTATTGGGTTAAAATTAGTAATAGGATTTAAAATCTCAACCAATAAAAAGTATGCATCTTTAAAATATTTTAGTTAAAAGTTTTCGTGAATTCAGCACCAGGTATAGCTTACCATAAATTCCATAATAAATGTACAGCTTCAACATAAATATCAACAGAGGTATCAGCACATTTCACATCTTCTGTTTCTGGAGTCCATAAAGGTCCATACTGAAAAAACAACAACATGGTCCATAACAACAGCACGGTCCATATTGAAATAATAACAACAACACGGTTGATACTGAATAACAACAGCATGGTTGATAATGAAATAACAACAAGGTCCATACTGAAATAAAAACAAACATGGTCCATACTGAAATAACAAGAAGGTCCATACTGAAATAATAACAACAAGGTTCATACTGAAATAACAACAAGGTCCATACTGAAATAACATGGTCCATACTGAAATAACATAATAACAAAAAGGTCCATACTGAAATAACAACAAGGTTCATACTGAATTAACAACAAGGTTCATACTGAACAGGGTTTGAACTATATTCTGATTTTACGGTAAGAGGCATGTAACAATTGATAAATCTGACTACAATCACCAATTTTATCCACGATCAAAACCTTTGTAATGATTTAACAGCACCATAGCGCTTTTGATTAAACATGTCTTGTAGATGTCCACTGACACAAACTAGGTCATTTCGGGACTAACACATGGTTCAATTTTATTTCAATAGTTTGGTTGCGTGTAGGTGTCTTTAGCAGTGGGAAGAAACAGGAGAACCCGGAGAAAACCCACGAGGTTGGACAGATGCCCCTAATCCTTGTCACATGGGGAATCAGTTTACTCAATGACAGACCTTATGATACAGCATGCATGTGCTAACCATTCGGCCATCCAACCCCCTAGCAAGTAAACAGGATCCAACATATTTTTGATTTGTAGGATATTTTTGGTGTTAAATGAATCATGGACCATATACAAATACATTAACTGAAGTCTACCTTATGGAATAGGGCCACAAGGGGAGTCATTACATCCTTCTTGATCATTTCTTCACAAACTTCATGGCCTCCATCAACACTCAAATTTCTGTAAAAGTACATAAAATATAAATTATTAATCTTAATATTAATTAAAGTCCATTCGACAAAACCAAGGTTATTTCTGCACTAACATAATCGTTCAATTTTATTTCAATAATTTGTTTGCGCATAGGGGTCTTTAGCAGTGGGAGGAAACGTACAACCGGGGAATCGAAATCATGCTAGTTGACTCAATGACAGACCTTATAACACAGTGTGCATGTGCAAACCATTCGGCCATCCCATCTCCCTTTCAAGTTAGTACAAAAAGTTAGGTACATAATGTGGTTATAAAATGCATTTCATTTACATTGATGTCACATGGCCTTGTACTGCTCTGTACCGTCTTGGCTAATGCACACATGTACTATGAAGTGAGCTGAGGGAAATTTGGCCCAGACGGCGGTGCTACAAAACTTCTTTTATTTCGAATTGCAACTATCCAAGGTTCGTTTACATGTATGCCAAGGTTAGCGAGCCAGCGCAATCTCATTAAAATATAGACTTATATTTTGTTTCGTTTTTTTATACTTTTGGTGGCCTCTACTACATGTACATGAAGATCTGATTAGTTGTAGTGGGAGGTTGTGTCAGGGGCAATACGAGTGGCTTTTGACCCTATGACATCAGACATTTGATTAACCAATCAGCGTTGTTGTTTCTAGTGTGTTACCCACAGTTCCGAGCACCTAACGCCAAAAACTTGCTGTAACAGATCGTTTTATTGGCTAATCCCTCACACCATCCAGAACACGGGTTATACAGTCATGTATAACAACGCTTCCAGATCCTAGTGTAGTAAAGACAAGTAAAACAAAATTTTGAACTATAAAAACGAAACGAAATAGGATCTGTGTTTTAATCAGATAGCTAGCCAGCACCTCTCCTGACATGAGCTTGATGTAAATGGGGAACTGTAAAACAGTGAATTAATGATAACACACCTGAGAGCCCCTAGTGATCTACACCTGACATCTGGACTAGGATCAACAATTAAAGGGCCGAGAATTTTGATGATATTGTGTTTGAGTAGAACTGGTACGGCCTCTTGTTGAGATACAAGACTGACCAATATACTACATCCTATTTCCCTCTCTTCAACACTGCCACTCTGTAGCTAAAATATACAAAACATTATAGTTACTTCTCTCTTCAACACTGCCACTCTGGAGCTAAAACATACAAAACTTTTCGTATAAATAAAATATTCTACTTCTCAGATAATCCTGTGTCACTTTAAAAAAGGTAAAATTACTTGTTTCATTATTTACTGCGCGTAAATATTCTACCCCGGTTACAGGAAATAACTCTTCAAGAAAAATTTGAAAAAACCCTGAGAACCAGAATATATTTTTATATGGCCTTAGTTACTCCCTTTTGAAAACTGCCACTCTGGAGTTAAAATATACAAAATAAAATCAGTTACTTTTCTCTGAACCATTGGCTAAGATTGCCTTATTAGTATAAATAGTTTACTTGGGGTTGCATTTCCTATTTATTTAAAATATTATTCACATATATTTTTCTTTTTTAATTATTACTATTGAAAGTTGAGAAGATAAATATTGGCGATTCATCCAGTTACCCCAATTTAGCAGTAACCATATGGTACATGTACATGTATCAATGACAAAATCTGAACTTGGGCATCCCCATTTATTTTCTTTATTAATACATGAAGTCTGGTCTGTTGAATTTTGTATTGTATTTTATAGACATGTACATGTATAGCTGCAATTTTTTTTGCAGAAATGTTATGGGCACATTTGATTATATTGCAAGTAAAAAAAAAATGAACCTCGTCAAAGATTGACATCAGTTTGCTAAGAAAACACAACAAAATCTTTCAATCTTAAAGCTGTTTTTACAAACAAATTGTTCAACTATTTAACTTGAGTTTTCAACACCCACATTTTTATTGCTCACATTTTCAGTAAATTCTTGAGAGGGTCAAGGTGAGAGAGAGAGAGAGAAATGGGGTTTAACATCCACTTGACACAAACTAGGTCATTTCGGGACTAATATATGGTTTAATTTTATTTACATAATTCGCTTGCGCGTTGGGGTCTTTAGCAGTGGGAGGAAACCGGAGGACCCGGAGAAAACCCACGAGGTTGGACAGGCGACCCTACTCCTTGTCACGTACAACCGGGGATTCGAAACCACGCCAGTCGAGAGAGGGTCAAGGTTCTCCAGATATAGTCATAACGATGATCCCAAATGAATTACCCAACCTCGTGGGTTTTCTCCAGGCCATCCGGTTTCCTCCCACTGCTAAAGCCCCCTACGCGCAAACGAATTATGGAAATAAAATTGAACCATATGTTAGTCCCGAAATGCCCTAGTTTGTGTTGAGTGGACCTTAAACCCCATTTCTCTCTCTCTCCCAAATGAATTACAGATTCATCCATCAATTGTATGAGGAGTTATTGTCTGTGTTAATGAAATCTTGCATACAGGCTAAAGGGTTTTTGTGGGTTGTGTTCAAAACTATCGTGAACTGTAATAGAAATACAGTAATTGTTATCCATAGAACTGTTGTGTTTATTTTTAACGTGTTCAATTACTAAATGCCATTCAAGCAGTAGGCCTATTACTGTTCATTTCAATCTTCCATATAGAGTTATTGGCCCTGTTATCGAAACTTTGTAAACCCATTACATGTAAATAAAAGCACATATTTCTGAGATTACTTTTTCTAACTTTGTTGGGCTGGTCATAAAAGAGAAATACTGGTATTATTGAAATGAATTACTCAAAATGAGCTGGTAGAGTTGCTATGTAAGTATGTAAATCTGGTAAAATCATACTTCAAATTGCTGACTGATTCGTGATGGGGAAAGCTGTCGTCAAAAAATCAACGACAACTGTAGTACCCGACAAAAAGAGTCACCTTGTTTTTAAATTCAATAAAATAAAAATAAATGGTCTAAATTACAGGCAAGATTCCTGGGCTAAATTAAATTACTACCTTTTCTAGAACTTCTGCAACAACCCCAGACGGCTCGTTATCGACTTCAACATTATCGCCATTTCGCAGTTCCGCCTCAAATTCCCTAACGCTTGGTAGCCCTGTCGGCTGCTGCTTTGGGGCTTTAAACTTCTTCTTTCTGTCTTTGCCCATTGTCTTTAAATTAGCTAATTAACGTTAATTACGTTGCATTAATCTCTTAATTAACTTATTTACTTTCTACACGTGCCCGTGGAAGCAGCCATCTTTGACCGGTGTATCAATTTCTGGACTTTTAATCACGAAACGAAAAAATATTATTATTGTAAGAAAAGTACCCGATAAATAAAGTTACCAAGCTGTATCCGAATAACATCTATTTTACATCTCTTAGTTTTAGATAAATACTAATCGGTATTCTGTATGCCATTTTTTCAAGCGGTTTTATATTTCGTTTCATGTTTTATTACTGATAGAGATATAGTTACATGTGTATCAGTTGATTAATGTTGACAGTCTAAGGAAAAGTCTCTAGTCTTTCAACCGTTACGTGTTTTTAACAGGTAATTCAAGGTGATAACATTTAGTTTCTCTTTTAAAATAGACTCATTGGTTACAGGATTAGGTTTCTGAATCAATTTGACCATGACTTTTTGATAAAATTGACAATGGTTTATTTTTTATGAGTGATACTGATATTTTTAGCGATGCTAAACGCCGCTAGGAGCGCTGGCTGTACTATTTACAGACATCACAAAAAGTTGACCGAGAAAAGTATACGTCGTGTTACGCCTTGTCATGAATATTCAAAGTGTCAAACATTGACCACGTGATGTTTACCATCGAGAAAAATAGATGAACTTGCTGTCGAGTAGGATTTTGAGAAGCTGAGGTAAGATTTTCTGATATTTTTCATGAATTGAAAATTTGAAGTTGAGAGAAATTTTCGAAAAAGGCCCTCGACGCTCAAGATTTTGGTATATTTGGAAAGCCCAATTCATTAACTACTTAGTTTGACCATTTGTTAAGTCCGTATCCCCCGTAGGAATTCGTAAAATGGCTGAAATTGAACCATGTGGAATTAAAGGGAGGTAACTCGTGGTTGATCAGGGTTCAGACCATAATTACCCCCCCCCCCCCCCACAGACTTCAGTGTAAAAAAAATGATGTTAGATTTGGACAGGTTTTTTTTATTATATTGAATGTTACTAAAGCTACCAACCAAACTTTAGCCAGACATTTCACTAACAAAGGATAAAAATTGTGAATGTTGTTGACCACCTTGGATTTTTTTTTTCAGGAACTGTAGCTGAAGAAGTAAGCTACATAATATATACTCATCCAAATCCAAACATAGCCAAAGGCGATCCCTGATATTACTTGGTACAACATAAAATAGACAAATGATGATGATATATAGGCCTACTCATACAGCTTGCATGAGGACTATAAAAAGGGGGGCTTGAAACTGACTGTTTCTCAGCATTCTCAAGAAAGTCCATAATTATTATAAATTTGGTATGAATCATAGAAGTTAGTTTAATTTATTGTTTGAAATCAGTGTTAGTAATCTTATTTTTGTTATTTCAATATTTGTGATAATATTTATTTTATTTTTAACATTTTCTACCTGAAAGAAGTGGCCTGATGCGTCAAATGTTTTTGTTTATTTTGAAAAATATCGCATATGAATAATGTGATTATTTTATATTGTTATTATTGTTTGTTTTTGTAAGATACATGTATTAGAAATCTTATATTTGTTGATAAATGTGATAATGGTTTCTTTTTTTTTATCATTTATTTTAAACCGGTGGGTGAACATTTTTAATTTCATATTAAATAGTAACAGATATGAATTTTGATCTTATTGTGATTTTGTTTTTAATATTTTTATATTTTTATGACATAGATAATGTCTCGGCAAGATGTATCACCATCTGAATGTTTATATTGTTTTTATTTTCATGGGATAATGTCTCAACAAGAAAGCTAGACTTCTACCACTGATATTATAATATAGTATATCGTAATGCACATGTATCACAAATTAATTTTTTTAATACTCTTTCATGTAGATCATATCTTACTTTTTATAAGCTTACCTTTTAATTTGGACTCTTTTAAGATATTCAAATGTTTTAATTATGTCTATTAATTATGTCTGTTTTTATTTGAAATTGTAGTGATGTTGATCACAAAAATATAGCTGTTATATAAATCATAGTTTAATTGTTAATTTTCATTCCTGAAACAAACAATTTCAAATTGATGTACATGGCAGCTTCTAAACAACTAAAGCAGTTGGCGTGGCAAAGGCGGCAAATCTGCCAAAAGCTTACAGGTTTATTTCTCATTTTGCCACACACTTTCATGATTTTTAAAAATATCCACAGTATACGTTAGTATAAACGGTTTATAATTGTTGTATGACTGTGAATGGCCAGTGGTCAATGGCCTCGGAACCAGTAGGTGCCCAATTACATACATAAACTTGTTTCTCTTCGACATTGACATCATACAGTCAAAAATTGTGATTTAAGGTGTTGTCATGCAAAAAATAAATAACAGAACAGACTGAAAACACTTTTATGTGTGCTTATTCATTAAAAAATAAGCCTCTGTATTAATGTCAAAGCGCTACAATTTAAGTACACACAAATTTGAAAAAAATTTTGCTGTGATTTGTGCGAAATCGGCACGGATCCCAACTTTGAACCTCTGTAACATAAAAAGTATATACTAGAATATTATAGCGACAATTTGGCTTTATTAAGTACATCTAGATCTTTAATTAGTGCAATTTTCATAGACCTATCTTGTATAGTTACTGAGATATTGGCTTCGGTCACTTTTTTGCGGTTTTTTAAAAAAGCCGTTTTTTAGCGCCTCTGGTTTGCCTTCTTTAAAACGCTATAACTTTTTTAATTTTCAATATTTTTTCGAAATTTTTTCAGATTATTCATTCTAGATAGTTCACAATTGCAGTATCGTTGTCATTTTTGAGTCAATGGTTGTATCTGAAAACCCGTTGGCAATGCTATATTAATTCGGATCCTGTTATCTCCTTCGTTCGAATCACTCAAGTGCATGACTAGGCTTCATGATCCGGGTCATCATACGTACATAATATGAGAAGGAAACACAAGCTGCTTTTATGCAATACCCTTTCATATTCAAACTAGTTGTGCACCTGTTACAATCAGGATTTTTTTTGATGAAGTGGGTATATTGTGTATTATATTATTATTATTAAGGTTTGCAATATTAACATGTAGCCTAGTCTACTATATAAATAGTAGTAGGCCTATTTATATCCCCAGATATTTCTATTTAATATAATCATAATGTAGGCTATATAATATCGTCCTTATACTCTGCTTTATGTAGACCATTTAAGTTGAAACTGAAACCCAACTCTTTGTTCATACAGAGTACGGTATAATATGACAAATGTTATTCTAAGGTGTAGTCTATTTATAACGAAATTTAGATAACAATAGGCCTACAATAGCAAATCCAAGCTTTACAAATTTATTTAGCTTTTATTTTACACATTAAATATTTCTAGAAATGAATGTACATGTCTGAAAGTCAAAATATAACTTTACTGTATGATGGTCAGGACGATTTATCTACATGTACATGTAATGTGGGAAGATTTATAAGTCTCACTGCAAAGCTACATGTATTATTATTATTATTATTATTATTATTATTATTATACTCAGTGCCACCCATTACAAACTGAAATCACCACCCATTACATGTACTTCTCTAATGCCACCCATTAATCCCCTAATGCCACCCATTGGGTGTACATGTACACCCCAATATTACCCCACCTATGTAACACCAGATAACAATTTGAATACTTTTTCAAGACTATTATTCAAACTTAATTTTAGTAACGATATTCAGAGTTCAATGTCAATTAAATCTAAGGGAATTTGGCAGGGTGGTCCGTGACCAAATCAATCTTTTTAATGTTATAACTACCAGCTATTATACTTCTGCTAAAAAATAAAATGGAAGGGAGAGAGAGAAATGGGGACTGACCTATGGTTCAATTTTATTTCAATAATTCACTTGCGTGTAGGGATCTTTATCTGCGGGAGGATACCGTAAAGATGGAGCTCCCCTGGATGGAGGGAATTCTAGTAAGGCAGTATTGATATCATTCATCATGTGAGGTTGTGTGTGGTGCTATTACTCATTTGATTTGGTCCGTGCATGAAAGGGGGGGTTGGATGGCCGAATGGTTAGCATGTGCGTGCTGTATCATGCGGTTGTACATGTACGTGGCAAGGAGTAGGGTCGCCTGTCCAACCAGTTTCCTCCCACTGCTAAAGACCCCTACGCGCAAGCGAATTATTGAAATAAAATTAAACCATATGTTAGTCCCGAAATGACCTAGTTTGTGTCGAGTGGACGTTAAACCCCATTTCTCTCTCTCTCCCGTGCAGAAAAGGAAATTAGTTCAGTGTCACATGTATATGGATTAATTAGCTGTCAAGGTGATCACACCATACATGTATAGCATTGAATCACTGTATCGCGATTCACCTTCTCATGATTTGCGTATTGTTTTTTGTACTTTTATTTTGCTTGTGAACTCTAGTTTCCTGCTAACTAAAGATCCCTATGCGCAAATAGGATTTTACCTATGTTAGTTTGTGTAGAATCAACATTACTCTCTCTCTCTCCCTCTCTCTCTAGTTTAGTGCTCAGATTCTTTGTGTAGAATCAATGTTAAACTCTTTCTCTCTCCATGTCTAGTGCTCAGTTTCATTTTTTTAGATATTTATTTCAAGTATCGACCTTACCTGAATTGATTGGTGTTTGAATTTTTGACAGTTACATGTAATAATTTGTAAAAATCGTTTAAAATAACCAAAAATCATCTACTTTGTACTTGTGTCAAGTTTAAAGCTACCCATTCAATTTTGATAATGAGTGTAAAATTTGCAAGCGGTTAATTTCTCTATCACCATTAAAAAATAAACAACCAAATTGATTATTGATGTACATGTATATGTATAATGATTAATTTTTGAACAGTTTAATGTCCACTCGACACGAACTAGGTCATTTCGGGACTAACATATGGTTAATTTTATTTCATTAATTCGCTTGCGCGTAGGGGTCTTTAGTAGTGGGAGGAAACTAGAGGACCCAGAGAAAACCCACGAGGTTAGACAGGTAACCCTACTCCTTGTCACGTACAACCGGGGATTCGAAACCACACCAGTTGACTCAATGACAGGTCGTATGATACAGCACGCACCTGCTAACCATTCGGCCCCCTATTTGAATACGATAAAACGCAGGTGAAAATACTGCTGTGTGGACAAAATTTTCCTCATGTACATGTGTGCTTTGCAAGGGATATGTCTCTTCATTAGGAGCCATGGTGGCTAAGTGTGTAAGTCTGGAGGTATCGGATTCGATCTCTGTATTGGACGAGAAAGTTCATCGGGATTTTCCGGCGTGATTTCCCCTTTCTCTCTCTCTCTCTCTGTTTGGCTGAAAGTCAGTGTGTCTTATAATCTTTTAACTTGTTTTCTTGCCATCTTTATTGTCTTTGTTCAAACAAACTAAACAAAGGATGTTGAGTTTTGTGATTAGCACATATAAAGGTAAGTCTTGGAACACGACAAAATAGTGTAACAAGATATTAACTCTTAGGTTGTTTCCTCAATGACTGGAGAAGTGGGAGTGTCTCACAATTGATGTTCATACATCAAGGTCAAAAGAGTAGATTTGTGGTTTTCATACAATTCAGATTCTTAAAAAAAATATTTTCTTTTGTATGTTGAGATTAAAATATTTTCTATTAATTAAAGAATTAGAAAACCATAAAAAAAGACATGACAGTTATTTCATCTAAAAACAATTTTACAAAGATGTGCATGTAGGCCTACATGTATGTGTGCAGTAGATTTTATTAAAACTGACCAGTCCAGAGCTTTTACATTAAAATTTACCTCGGATAAGCAACATACATGTGTTTTTTCCAAAGACTGTGACATTTTGTAAAATTGTCCTAATTCTTTTTGAATAAATTTGTAATTGTTATTACACCAATCTGATTAAAGTACAGATCTATATTTTGTTTCATTTTTTTATACTTTCCATGGCCTCTACTGAAATGAAATGAAATGGGGTTTAACGTCCTACTGTTCTGCTCCCATGCTGGACTAATGAAGACGGGCCTACGCCATACAGTGTGCCATGAGGGAAATTTTGCCCGGGCAGCGGCACTATCGCCTACTCTTATATCGAATTCCAACTGCCAAGGGATCTTTTAAGTGCATTCTAATGTATACACGGGACCTCGGTTTTTCGTCTCATCTGAAGGACTAGACAGCTGTCCTTGTCAGGCCCTCCGTCCTGCATCACTGACAAGGGGGAACCACGCCGGAAAATCTGGATGAACTTTCTCGGTCAATGCAGGGATCGAACACTCGACCTCCAGGCTAGCGAGCCAACGTCTTACCCACTTAGCCACGTGATCCCCGGCCTCTACTACATGTACATGTACATGAAGATCTGACCAGTTGTAGTGGGAGGTCGCATCAGGGGTCATATAAGCGGCTTTTGTTGACCCTGACGTCAGACATTTGATTAACCACTCAGCGATGATGTTTCTAGTAGGATATCCACATTTCTGTGCATCGCACGCCAAGAATTTGCTGCAACAGACCGTTTTATTGGCTGAAACCTCACATCAAACAGAACGTGGGTTATATATGTACATGTATAACAACTCTTCCAGATCCTAGTGTAGTATACACAAATAAAACAATATATTTGGAACTATAAAAAAATGAAACGAAATAGGATCTGTGTTTTAATCAAATTGTTACTACACATAAAAATATACATGTATCTTGTATTTTAAGGTTAAATTTTTTAAAATTCTAATTTCATGGCTGGGTTTCACTCTCTCATGACCACAATGCTTCACACCAATTTAAAAAGAATTTGTCGAAAATGGTAGCCTATATGTACATGTATGTCACAAGGTTTTCGGAAAAGGAGCAATAACTCTGGAACGGAAAGTTGCAAAATACTGAAAATCAATAAAGTGTCGTCTGCTCATGACTTTGCTCCAACTTTGAAAAGAATCCATCGAAAACTGTAACGTATATCACTTCACAAGGTTTTCGGCAAAGGGGGGATAACTCTGGTACGGAAAGTTGCAGAATGCTGAAAATCAATTGGGTTCAATCTCTCATGACCTCAATAGTTTAACCAAATTTCAATCACATTCACAAGGTGTTTGGAGGGTGGGTTGGGATGAGGGGAGTAACTTCAGAATGTAAAGTCTTTGATTTCTGGCAAGGAAAAGCATCTAGTTGTTATGATTGGTGAAAAGGTCTGGCCTATACCATTGGCAGCAATCCCTTCACAGTTTTATTCTGAAATAAGAGTAGTATCGCTGGCGCTGTCCAGGCAAAAGTTCCCTCATAATAGCACATAACTGCATGGCATGTGCCTGTATTCATTTAGAAAGGTACTGTAGCAGGTTAAAGGTCATTTCATTTCATTTCATTGTATTCATATTTGTTTTTTTGCAGAAAAATTGTGAATAAAACTGTTGAGTGATAAAGAGGAATAAAACGTTATAAAGATGGATTTCTACTACATGTAAGTTTTTATTTCAAATTTAATTTAAAGTTCTGATGCACAAATTGCTTTTTCGCTAAATATCATATTTCATACAGCTTAATCCACGCTAATACATTGTACATTAATCTAATCAGATTGATTATTTAAAGGGCCAATCCCGATAATATTTTGGAGAATAAAACTGCTTAATTTTGTGTTCAAATATCTTAAAATCCTCAACCTTTGGGCCGAACAACTAACTCAATATATGTGACAGTTTTCAAACAACTTAAACACGTCAGTCTTAATCTAGAAATGGAGACCGGTGTCCCACGCTGTATTATGCGGTGTCTGGATAAAACCAGACTTTATTTTATAAAAATAAGGTGCAGGTGAAATTTACCTTTCGTTATCAAGTACATCAAGTGGGTCATGCACTGTATATAACTCTAAAGAAACGGCAATAGATTATCAGGTCACCCAACGAAAAAATTGACCTGAAATCTTAAAAGGGTTACGTGTCCGGATGAGTAGTTTCGACGTTCACATCTAAACGATTCAATATTTTGAGGTGAAATCTTGAGACAAGGTAAATACACCATTCAATATTAGAATTGAAAAGGGCCTATGAATAGATTTTCCTCTCATAGCACACTGCATGGCACATGCCTGCCATCATTAGCCCTGTCAGGGGGTGGGTGGGGGTGGATGGCCGAATGGTTAGCATGTGCGCATTGTATCATAAGGCCTGTCATTGAGTCAACTGGCGTGGTTTCGAATCCCCGGTTGTACGTGACAAGGAGTAAGGTCGCCTGTACGTGACAAGGAGTAAGGTCGCCTGTCCAACCTCGTGGGTTTTCTCTGGGTCCTCCGGTTTCCTCCCACTGCTAAAGACCCCCTACGCGCAAGCGAATTATTGTAATAAGATTAAACCATAGGTTAGTCCCGAAATGACCTAGTTTGTGTTGAGTGGACGTTAAGCCCCATTTCTCTCTATCGCTTTCCCATGAATGAAAGCTTATTAATATTGACCCCTATTTCCTGAAGCTGACAAATGACTTCTGGTGACCTACAATGTAATTCTGGCCATAATTAATTCCAACTAATAAGTTCCAACATGTAGGCTATGTGCAAATGAAATGAAATGAAATGGGGTTTAACGTCCTACTGTTCTGCTCCTATGCTGGGCTAATGAAGACGGGCATACGCCATACAGTGTGCTATGAGGGAAATTTTGCCAGGGCAGTGGCACTATCGCATACTCTTATATCGAATTTCAACTGCCAAGAGATCTTTTACGTGCATTCCAATGTATACACGGGACCTTGGTTTTTCGTCTCATCCAAAGGACTAGATAGCTGTCCTTGTCAGGCCCTCCGTCCTGCATCACCGACAAGGGGGAACTTTCTCGGCCAATGCAAGGATCGAACACCCGACCTCCAGGCTAGCGAGCCAGCGTCTTAGCCACGTGATCCCCACATGTATGTGCAAAATTTTGAAACAGCATCCTTGTCTATCTGTACATGTATACAACAATAATAGCTTATTTTATGCATGTGCGCGCTGTACCATAAAGTCTGTCATTGAGTCAACTGGCGTGGTTTCGAATCCCCGGTTGTACGTGGCAAGGAGTAGAGTCGCCTGTCCAACCTCGTGGGTTTTCTCCGGGTCCTCCGGTTTCCTCCCACAGCTAAAGACCCCTATGCGCAAGCGAATTATTGAAATAAAATTAAACCATGTGTTAGTCCCGAAGTGACCTAGTTTGTGTTGAGTGGACTTAAACCCCATCTCTCTCTCTCTCTCTCTCTCTCTCTCTCTCTCTCTCTCTCAGTCAATCTGATTAAAATACACATTTATTTTTTGTTTCGTATTTTTTTTTATACTTTTGATGGCCTACACTACATGAAGATCTGACCAGTTGTTTTGGGAGGTTGCGTCAGAGGTCATACGAGCGGCTTTTGACCCTATGACGTCATATATTTTATCAACCAATCAGCATTGATGTTTCTAGTGGTTTACCCATAGTTCCGTGCACTTCACATTAAAAGTTCACCATAACAGACCGTTTCATTGGCTAATCCCTCGCATCATCCAGAACACGTCAATGATAACAACTCTTCCACATCCTAGTGTAGTAAAGACAAGTAAAATGAAATTTTGAACTATAAAAACAAAACGAAAGAGAGAGAGAGAGAAATGGGGTGTAACGTCCACTCGACACAAACTAGGTCATTTCGGGACTAACATATGGTTTTTAATTTTATTTCAATAATTCGCTTGCGCATAGGGGTCTTTAGCAGTGGGAGGAAACCATAGGACCCGGGGAAAACCCACGAGGTTGGACAGGCGACCATACTCCTTGTCACGTACAACCGGGGAATCGAAACCAAAAACAAAAGAGGATCTGTGTTGTAATTGGAGACACATTGAAAAAAAATATGTGAAAAAAAATAGCTTCTTGTACAGGTACTTTTAAATCCTTCCATATCAGAGAAATGTACATGTATATGTGAAAAAACTAGCTTGTTGTACAGGTACTTTTAAATCCTTCATATCAGAGAAATGTACATGTATATGTGAAAAAACTAGCTTGTTGTACAGGTACTTTTAAATCCTTCCATATCAGAGAAATGTACATGTACTTGTACTGGCTTAGACCCTGCTGAAATTGATTAACGTGAGAATTTGTAAAAAAATGTTCTTTATTTTTCAGATTGATCGTCATACTGATCTTTTTAAAGGTCATGTTCTGGACATTTTTCTTCTATATGAGAAGCCAAAGGATGCGAGAAGCTCGTCAACAGAGACGTTTTGTAATTGTGGAATCACGTCCTGTTCGTCCAAATAATGTTAACACATCCGTAAGTTGTCAGATTTATATCAGTATAACAAGTTCAACCATATAACGGGGGGGTGGGGGGGGAATGGCCGAATGGTTAGCACGTACGCACTGTATCATAAAGCCTGTCATTGAGTCAACTGGTGTGGTTTCGATTCCCCGATTGTACGTGACAAGGAGTAGGATCACCTGTCCAACTTCGTGGGTTTTCCCCGGGACCTCCGGTTTCCTCCCACTGATAAAGACCCCTACGCGCAAGCGAATTATTTAAATAAAATTTTAAAAACCATATGTTAGTCCCAAAATGACCTAGTTTGTGTCGAGTGGACGTTAAACCTCATTTCTCTCTCTCTCTTTCTCTCTCAAACATATAACAAAATATTCGGCTCGTCAGATACTGCTTGGTCACATAAAATAGCTTTTTGAATAGAAAAAAAATCTCGTTCACTAACCAAAATTAAAAAAAAATGATTTGCAATAAAAAAATGAAATGGGGTTCAACATTCTACTGTTCTGCACCGACTGGGCTAATTGAGATGGGCATGTGACATACAGTGTGCTATGCGGGGAATTTTGCCCGGGCAGCGGCACTATGGCCTACTCTTATATCTTTTATGTGCATGTCAATGTACATGTATACACAAGACCATACGAACGACTAGACAGCTGTTCTTGTCAGCATTCTGTCCTGCACCACTGACAAGGGGAAACTACGGCGTAAAATCCCAAACTTTCTCGGCCAATGTATGGAAGTAGACCTTAAACCACCGACTTCCGTGGAGGAGGGGGGGGTGTTTATGGCGGAATGGTTAGCGCGTGCGCACTGTATCATAAGGTCTGTCGTTAAGTCAACTGGCGTGGTTTCGATTCCGTAGGTGACAAGGAGTGGGGTCGCATGTCCAATCTCGTGGGTTTTCTCCGGGTCCTCAGATTTCAAGAGATTATATATTTTTTTACGTGAAATTTTTTCAAATTATTTTTAAATAACTTTCTAAGTGAAGTCTATATACATGTACATGTTACTACAGTCCTGGAACTGTACAATGGAATCGTGCGACTAGCACCCGGATGCATTTACTTGATCTGATATGTGCATTTGTCATTTGCATCCTATATATATTGCATCCTGGGATCACGTGGCTAAGTGGGTAAGGCACTGGTTCGCTAGCCTGGAGGCCGGGTTTTCGATCCCTGCATTGGCGAGAAAGTTCATCTTGATTTTCCGGCGTGGTTTCCCCTTGTCAGTGATTCAGAACGGAGGGCGTGACAAGGACAGATGCCTAGTCATTCGGATGGGACAAAAAACAGAGGTCCCGTGTACACATTGGCGTGCACGTAAAAGATCCCTTGGCAGTTGGAATTCGATATAAGAGTAGGCCGTAGCGCCGCTGCCCGGGCAAAATTTCCCTCATAGCACACTGTATGGCGTATGCCCGTCTTCAATTAGCCCAGGTTGGGTGCAGAAGAGTAGGACGTTAAACCCCATTTCATTTTCATATTGCATCCTGTCCGTAGGTTTGTCTTGTGTAATTGTTTATGTGTGGTGCAGTCCTCCTGTACTAAATATGTTAATTATTTTTCAGGATAGAGCAGGAATTATAAACAATGAAATCGTCCCCGATTCAGGTTTTGCCACAGCACCGCCATCATATGATGATGTTGTATCAGATAATACAGCTAAACCTCCGTCTTACGATCAGGTCATTTCACAGTCTTCTCAACATACGCCTAAACAAAATACATCCATCAATATTCCCTCATAATATTTTTGTATAAATTGATTAAATATGTGTGAAAAAGAGTCCATATTCTGAACACATTTTATTACAGATTGATAGACTAATAATTAAGTAGAGATTGCTTTGGACTGGTTAACCTGCTCTAAAAAGTCTGATATCAGGATATCCAGTCTTCTACATGTGTTTTTTTGATTGAAATAGAGAATGCAGTGGACTGGATAACCTGTTCTAAAAAAGGTGGGGCGGATTAGAGCAGGACTTCCAGTCTTATAAGTAGACAGTCTTGGAATACAGGACTACTACAGTAAATTGCTTATCTTGCTTATCAGTCTGATTGAAACACACATCGTATTTTGTTTCGTTTTTATAGTTCAAAATTTGTCTTTACTATACTAGGATCTCAAAGAGTTGTTATCATTAGCCAATGAAACGGTCTGTTACAGTGAGCTTTTGGCAAGTGGTGCACGGAACTGTGGGTAATCAAATGTCTGATGTCATAGGGTCAAAAGCCGCTTGTATGACCTCTGACACGACCTATCACTACAACTGATCAGATCTTCATGTAGTGTAAGCCATCGAAAGTAAAAAAAACAAAAAACGAAACGAACTATAGATCTGTATTATAATCAGATTGATATATCATGTACATTGGTAAGATATGAATTCATATAATGATTCTCTAACTCTGCATTATGTTTATAAAGGTATTTAATGAAATCTATTAATAATAGGGACCCATGTACATTGATTAGAAATGATGTCATATAATGATTTACTATTTTTACAAATAATTGTTGTTTTCTTACTTACAACCATGACTTGTTATTTTCCTCGATAAAGGCAGGATATTTGTTTTGATTATGCAATGAGATATTGTGTATATATGCATGGGCGTGGATTAAGGGGGCGGGGGGAACGAGTCCTCCCATTAAAATTGGAAGGGGGGGATGAATAGGTATCTGTCCGAGGGGTTGGATGGCTGAATGATGAGCACGCGCGCGCTGTATCATAAGGCCTATCTTTGAGTCATTTGCCGTGGTTTCGAATCCCCGGTTGTGCGTGACAAGGAGTAGGGTCGCCTGTCCAACCTCGTGGGTTTTCTCCCACTGCAAAAGACCCATATGCGCAAGAGAATTATTGAAATAAAAGTAGACCATGTGTTAGTCCGGAAATGACCTGGATTGTGTCGAGTGGAAGTTAAACCCCATTTCTCTCCCTCTAGGTCTCTGTCCCCCTCATGATTTTGATTGTCAGGACACATTTTGAGGTTTATATCCACATGAATCACCCGTTCTGAAGGCTATCTAACCACTGGCTTGGGTCTCGCCACAGTTACTGATCTTTAAGATATCATATTATTACATAACACTGGTACAGTAAACTGTTAGTAATAATTATTTTGGTTTGGTAATGAAATATTCCAGGTTCCAGGGTTTTCGTCCGTCCCCTCCCCCCAAAGTTATGACAAATCCACACCCTTGTATATATCATACAGTAGTTATAGCTTTATTATTACCAAGGGGAGATAAATCTGTTCTGGCAGATCAAATTGTAACAAGGTTCTATTGTACAGATCACATTTTTAATACACAATGTATGTTAATACATTTACGTTTTTTTTTTAATTATTTGTAACCGGTACCAGGATCTTTCAATTATTGTGACTTTAGATATTTTTAAAGATCAGAGAAAAATAATAATACCCCCAAATTATTTCATTATAATAGTTATATTTATAACGTGGATGTTGGGGTTCAATGTTATAAAAAAACCCCACTTATATATATTATAAACTGTCTTCATTATTACATGAATGTTGGGGTTCGCAAACTAAATCCATGCTATAAAAAACCCCACTGTTTATATATTATAGGGGATGAATGTTTATATATTATATATTGTTTATATATTATAAACAGTCATCATTATAACGTGAATGTTGGGGTTCGTGAAATAAATCCATACTATAAAAAAAATGCTTATCATACATTATAAGGTTGTTTTTTTTTTTAGAACACTGTTGTTTCCATGGCGACAGCTACATGTATAGTACAGTGATATGATGATAAAATCGGAACTCACTGTAAGATCATTTGCCTTGTTTATATTTTTGATTGAATTATTTCGTCCTATATTAACACAAAAAGAGAGATAATTTGCTTGTGCCTTGCATGTAAATATGCTATCTGTAGTTTATCTAACTTTATGAATAAATATAGAATGTAGGAGCTTAAGATAAAAAGATATACACTCACAATTTCATGTGTGCTTACATTTTATTTTTTACACTGACCAAGATAATGACCCATAGGCGCTCAATTCCATTATGTCATCATTCTTCCACTTCGCTGAAGTCTTATAGTAACTCTCACAAACGAATTGACAGGTAGATCTCTAGATTCTGTCCCATTTCTGATCTCCTCCTACACAAGAATTTGATCCCACCAATGACCTCAAATACCAGGGTTGGGGGTCCGAACGAAATTCTACCAAGACTTTCCTATGCTAACCAAAATGTATTGTACATTGAAAAGATTTGGACATATAAATTCAAACAACATGCCATTTATATTATTGCTTCTATTCCACTTGTAAATAAATTACGTCAATCATATTCGGGTAAAAATGTATTGCCTAGACCTGTGATTCTCAACCAGTGTGCCGAGGCACATTTTATTTTTTACACTGACCAAGATAATGACCCATAGGCGCTCAATTCCATTATGTCATCATTCTTCCACTTCGCTGACAGGTGTGCCGCAAGATCTTCCCAAGTTTGCCGCCAAATTTTTGGGACGGCACACTAAGAAAATGCGAAAAACCATGTGATCCCAATTGCGTATTCACTGGTGTCTACTGGTAAGATCACGGCTGTGTTTTTCTTTATTTAGTTTAAGTCATTCTATTTGTCTATGACTAGTCTCTGTCTACGGTGGTATGCGATCTATTACTTGCCATGTTTTTATTTTGTAAAATTCAAATATTTTTCATATATATTTAGCCAGGTGTGCTGCTATTTTTTCATGTGTTACAGAGTGTGTCTTTGGCAAAAAAGGGTTGAGAACCACTGGCCTAGACCAAGCTTTGACTAGCTTTTATAAAATGAATTGACGTTATATGTATCAATATTCTGATAACTTTACGATGTGATCACATATAATTTTATAAATTGGAAAAATCCACCAATGATTCTGAACCCATTAATTTGTGCCTTTTTATTTTTTTAATTAAAATTATTATTGCCTGTTATTTGTGTTGAGGAATTTCAGGCAGATTGCTGAGTCACCAGGCCAGTTGAGTAGTCGTCAAGTTCGTTTGTGGAAGTCCTATTTATACGGATAATTCATCTGTTGGGATTTCTAACCCTAACCCTATACCTTGTTTCGACCTCCCCCACCCGCTTGAAATTAGATTCACTACATTATGACTGAACAAAAATTTGTGATTTTATTTCTGGAGTTTTTATGTTAATAATTGAGTCGCAAACATGAATATTTCCATGTAGTTTTTGTTAGATTAATTAGGCAAACATTGTAATGCCCTTATTATTATTGTAAAACCCTGATATTGTGTTAAAGAAGCTAAACCTCTTTGATTTATGTTAAAATATTGAATTTTTTTTTCTTCAGATTTGTATGTTCTATGTGATAAAATTTTAATTTCTAAAGATTAAGTGAAAGCTAGCTTGTATACTTTTTGTAGTTTTATCTTTTTTGCTTAGTCTGTCGACAGTCAAACACAAAATTGGCTTTATTGTCATCACATAAATAGAATCAACAAATAAAATCTAATGAAATAGACATTATTTAAAACTTTAATCCAAAAGGGCTTAGTTATTTTAACTTTATGCAAAGAAACCTAGTTATTTTAACTCTACTATTAAAGGTATTGGAGATATACCATTATTATTTTTATATATTTTACGTGATAGTTGAGTGATAATTGATTTAAAGTGCTCTTCTTTTAATAAATTATACATTTATGTATTAAAATCTATTAAGTATTCTTCAGAACTCTATCTCTCTTTTTAGTTGAAATCTTCATTGTTTTGAGTGAGTGAATGGTGCACATAGGCTTTATTATCCATACTTATCCCATTCTGGGGGATCATGGTGGGTAAGACGCTGGCTCGCTAGCCTGGAGGTCGGGTGTTCGATCCCTGCATTGGCCGAGAAAAGTTCATCCATATTTTCCCCACCTGGTTCCTGCTTGTCGGATGGGACGAAAATCTGAGGTCCCATGTACACATTGGCGTGCATGTAAAAGATCCCATGATAGTTGGAATTCAGTATAAGAGTGGGCCGTAGCACTGTTGTCCAGGCAAAATTTTCCTCATAGCACACTGTATGGCGTATGCCAGTCTTCATTAGCCCAGTTCGGAGCAGAACAGTAGGACATTAAACCCCATTGCATTTCATGTCCAATTCGAATAATATATTTGTCCCAGTTTCAATCCCAGTGATGGCTGACAGAGTATCTTGGGATATTCGGGTCTGGTGGTACTAGGTGCGCGATCTGGCGGGGAACAGTGTCTAGTAGGTTATATAAGAATGTGTCAGGAGTGTGTTCAGTAATGGTGTTGAAGGGGTGGGGTCGGTGGTGGAGACCATGTCAAGTTTGGAGTCAGGTCTGGGAGATTAAAGGGGCATTATGGAAGATTAGATAAAGAGCTGGCAGTTCTCACTATAATAGTTAAAATCAAGATAAAGTAAAGGGAATATGCTGAAAATTTCAGTCAAATTGCTCCGCTCTGAACCAAGATATTAGCAATTGAATTTTAGGCCTTGACTCAATCAACACTGCTAAAGTCGGTAAAATAAAAAACAGTCTCGATTATCCCTTTTTGCATTCAATCATCAATAGGCCTTGAGTAGCAGATCGGATTCAAATCCAGTATAAATCTAACACATAAGATGGCACTGAGAGTTGATTATGGTCTTTTCATGTTAATAAATGTCTAATTAATAGTTTATATAACATTTCAGGCCCAAAGAAAGACCTGCAGTAGGCAGATGTAGCTCTTGCATAATGTATGTTTAATTAGCAGAAGCTCTAAGATAATATTTCTGTTCAATTAGGTTCTGGGGATCACGGTGGCTAAGTGGGTAAGACGCTGGCTCGCTAGCCTGGAGGTCGGGTGTTCGATCCCTGCATTGGCCGAGAAAGTTCATCCAGATTTTCCGGCGTGGTTTCCCCTTGTCAGTGATGCAGAACGGAGGGCCTGGCAAGGACAGCTGTCTAGTCGTTCGGATGGGACGAAAAACCGAGGTCCTGTGTACACATTGGCGTGCACGTAAAAGAACCCTTGGCAGTTGGAATTCGATATAAGAGTAGGCCATAGCGCCGCTGCCAGGGCAAAATTTCCCTCATAGCACACTGTATGGCGTATGCCCGTCTTCATTAGCCTAGGTTAGGAGCAGAAAAGTAGGACATTAAACCCCATTTCATTTCATTTAGGTTCTTACAACTGTTAGCCATTAGATCAACACTTAGAATCGGTCCTTACATCACTGGAGAGCACATGCTGCCACTAAAACTAGAATAGTTATTATTTGCGATTTCATGACTTGTCCTTGATTTTGGGTATAGATTCGAATAAGAATTATTTAATTTACATTTTTTTCCCAGGTTTTGGCAAATATTCATGATTTTGCGGTGGACAGATGTCAGAGTCTATAGATTTCCTTTAGTCAGTCCTGGAAAAATTAAAAATGTCCCCTTCCCGTTCAGTCTTTTGATTATTTCATGTTGGGCTTTTTGTAAATTAAAATCAGAGAATGGTTCAATGGAAAGAGAATTACTAGTCTAAATGGACTAAGACTAGTAATTATTTCCCCTTATTTCATGATGGACGAATGTAGTGCGAGTTATAAATAGACAATTTTTCCCTTAATTTTTTTCTCCCCTCTTCCTGCATTTTTGGGTTGACTTTTTGGTCTAGAATTGGAGAAAAGGGATCAAATTTGCAATTTCATAGCAGTTTTGGGTAATACTGATGATATTACAGCGGAGGGATAGGGGGTGTAAAGTGTCTTTCTGCAGAGCAATCATTGTGTCGGAAGTGAGATTTTCACCCCTGTCAACTTCAAATCTGTGTAGCAAAAAATCTAAATGGTCAACCCCCTACAAAATTATGATGAGGAGATTGCCAAATGTTGTCCCCATTGTGCCTATAAAGATTGGAACCAACGGAATGTTGAGCAAAAAGCTACAGCCTGTGATGTTACAGTCATTTAACATTGAAGTCAATGGGCAAATAATTGCTAGTCTGAGTCCAAATCCATGAGCATTAAAATAGATTTATCTCCCCTGCATAAACCGAATCTAAAACATGGTTAGTCTATTTGATATGGCCAACTTCAAGTTTGGTCAAAGGTCACAAGATGTAAACAAGGCTAGCGCTAATCTCAACCCTAACCCTAACCCTTACCCTAATCCAGTAATCTCGCGAACAATCACGTGCCCTTTCCCTATTTACATCTCAGCGACATTGTCCCTTATTCACGAAAACTGCCACACTGATCAGCAGTTCTCTGTGAAACAGATTGGAAAACTGCAGGTGACCTTAACAATTAAATATCTCAAATCGCCATTAAAATAGGGAGAAGAAATATTTCACCAGGCAAACTACAAGGCACAATACTGGACTACAAGACTGTTCTAGTGAATCGGTGAGGGGTTTTTTATGATGAAAGGCTATAGATACGTCAAACAGAATACAACTCGATAAATATGGCGATGCGTTTCGCAATACCCAGCTAGAACTCCGACTGACCGAGCGGAATCTCTCACGAAGATTGAAGCTCCCGGATTCAAAATGAAGTTAGCAAACATATTTCTAGCGCCAATAAAAACTATATATATATATTTATTACAATATTCATTGTGTTACCTTTATATTAGGAAATAACATTTCAAGACATATTATTGCAAAGTATACTAAAATATCGCACACAGAAAAGCGTACGCCACGCCATCAAACACTGACACTAAACAGTAATCGAACCAGCTTTGGTGGCAAAATGTTTTGTCATTTTACAGAATCACTGGATGAATAAACTACTTGAATGCATAGTTTCAGAAGCCTAATATGTTGCATTTTCGAGATACATTACCGTAAAGTTACTAAAAATATATCAAGTCTATACCTGTTTATTTACGTGCATACAAATCGGATCATTCCAATGTCAAGACAAGTGTTTGAAACTTTAGATTGGAATACGGATGAATGTATCTTAATATTCTTATGCCTGTCTGTCCCTGCTTGGTGTCTACGCTCTGGAAGCCAGAGTGAATAACCGATTGACTTTAAATTTATAAACAATTAAGGTATAGACTTGATATATTCAGGTTATTGTCCCCCCCCCCCGGCCCTCCAATCAGCTGAGTAAACGAAAATATATAACGTGTAAAACAATCTATTGAGACCTGTTACAGACAAATTGGTGGTAAAGCTAGTTTGGGTGATAAAGGGCCTGTGCAAAATTGCGTCTCTTCGTATACGATAGTCGCGTATACGATAGTATACTCCCATGTTCATTCACTCAACTTCTTACACAAAGAAAGTGTCCAGTGTGTAAGCCAGTTACCAACGTCGACCTCGTGGTCAAGTTAGATAAACCCCGCGCTGTTCGTCTATCTGTCTGTCCGTCACACATTTTGGGACACAATCACTCTCCTAATTGAGCTAGAATATTTAAACTTGGTGTAAGTGTTTATTAGGTGAATGGCTCGATGAGGTTCCAAGATGAGCATTTCTGCTCGGGGTAAACAGAGATAAGCAATTTGGTTGGTTGATGCTTTGGCACTAGTTAAATTTGATTCTAAAGGATGGAGAGTAATGAAACTTAGTTTCACTATCATGTACTTCAAAACTGAGTTTGTTCGTGAGCATTTTATACCTAGACTAAGTATTTAGTGATGAAACTTATTGTATAGTTTCACTACCATATTATGCAAAACCTGAGTTTGACCGTGAGGCGTGAACATTATATACCTAGCTAGACTAAGTATTCAGTTTGATTGCTCCATACTTTTGAAAAGGATAAATGTGCAATTAATTAATATGTGTCATCTATTTATTTTGGGATTACAGCGGGGGACATCAGCCTCACTGTTGACTTGTTACTATATTGTCTAGTCGATTAATACTAGAACAGTAGTAATAATAGTTAGATATTCAAATTTCAATTAAGCATTTCTGGTGAAAATGTACAATATATTATAATAATATTACACAAAGGCTACAGTTAAGTGTGGCACTGACGATCAAGTCTTTATTTATTTGTGTATTTCAGTGATGTTAAGATAATAAAGGCTATTAGATATAGACCAACAGCTAAACAAGATGGAAGCCGAGAGGTTCGTATATTAAACAGATCAGGCTTTAGAATCCGTCCACCACCCACACTAGCCCATTGTCTATTCGATCAACATCGGGGTTAACTGGGGTAACTGCATAGTTAGCCTATTGTAGATACGGTGCACATCAGGGTTAACCGGGGTAAAGTATATTGTAGATACGGCGAACACCAGGGTAACTGGGGTATTATAAGGTATATATTGGAAGCCGAGTGTTAACTGGGATAAAGTATAGTTACTAGTTAGCCTATTGTAGATACGGTGAACATCTTGGTTAACTGGGATATTATAAGATATAGTAGCCTGTTGTAGATACGATGAACATCAGGGTTAACTGGGGTAAAGTATAGTTACGAGTTAGCCTATTATTATAGATACGGTGAAAACCAGGGTTAACTGGGATATTGTAAGGTGTATATTGTTAGCCTGTTGTAGATACGATGAACATCAGGGTTAACTGGGATATTGTAAGATATAATTAGCCTTGGGATATTGTAAGGTGTATATTATTAGCCGATTGTAAATACAGTGAGCATCAGGGCTAACTCGGGTAGGTGTCCTGTCGTGTGAAAAACACCCTTGGTGGACAGATTGTAATGACATTCTAACTTAACAGTGTAGATATTCTGTTTTATTTAGAAATTACATACTTGGAACAAAAATGGGTCACAACACTGTAATATAAATGTATAAACTGATTTACATTCATTCATTTCTGTTTTTACTGTAATTTATAATGAGTTATGTTCGGCGAAATGCGGCAGAAGTCTCAATCGAATGGCAATTTCTAGCGTTTGATTATTCCCGTCTACACTGATAGTATTTATTGCCCATGCTCTCCAGATAAGAATATGACATCACCAATTGACATGACTTGTGGAATATGTCTAGACTCGTTCTTTGAGTCCCTTGCTACAAATGGCACTGGAACGAGTTATGCTACACGGTTCGTGTACCAATGGTGAAATGTTTATCAGATGCCCATCTTTTCTCGGTAAGATCACAATCGTGTTTTAAATGTCAAAGACTTTGGATGATTTTGGGTTAGAGACTTAGCTACTTTAACTTAAGAGATTAATGAGGCAGAATACATTGAGTTTTTAGATTGTTATTGTATTTATATCATCTTTGTAACTAATGTAACTAAAACAAAATGTTTACTATATTTTAGTATACTGGAATCAACACTACGCCAAGCTGAAAACGATGGAAATATAGGAGAAGTAGTTGAAACATTATCATTACAAGATAAGATGCAAGCTGTACTTACATGTATATCTGGTGTAAAGGGATTGTATGATGTTGTGATACATCTGATAGACCATAGTATTGGTGTACAATATGTTGAAAGTGGTCAGGGCAACCTACTGCACTTACTTTTACGTAGCTATAGCAGATATAACAATGCAAGTAGACCTGATTTGTTGTTACAGTGTATAGTTAAATTAATTGAGGCTGGGGTAGACGTAAACTGGTCCAATGAAGACAATGAGATGCCTGGATTTACAGCTGCTTGGAAAGGATTGTATGAAGTTGTGATACATATGTTAGAACATGGTTTTGATTTACATTATGTTGAAAGCCACCAGAACAACTTGTTACACATACTTTTATATAGATATGACAAATACAATTATAGCTATACAAGTAGACGTGATTTGTTATTACAATGTATAGTTAAATTAGTTGGTACTGGTGTAGACTCCAACCAGTTGAATGACCCCAAAATATACTCGAATTTTGTGCTACCGGACCTAAAAGCTATGCCTTGAAAATTGAAAATCAAAATACCCACAAAATATCTTTATAACATTGGCTTCCAGTTCGAGCGAGGGTTCAATTTAAAGCTCTTGTGAATGTGTTTAAATCAGTTTATTCTGACACTGCACCCAGTTATTTAAAAGAACTCTTTGATTTCTATTCTCCCCGGCGATACACCCTTCGTTCGTCAAGTGATCGTAGCCTATTGAGGATTCCTAAACAAAATAAACTTTCTGGGGAATTCAATATGCTTTCTCCGTCAGAGCAGCTGAAATGCGAAATGAACTTCCAAAAGCTCTTCGAGAGTACTCTTCCATCCAGAGCTTTAAGACTTACTTAAAAACATATTTATTTCAAAACTGTTTTTGAACTTTTTGTTGTGAATGTACTTAGAAACTGTGTAATGAAGCGCTATATAAATGAACAATAATAAAGATGCTAAAGAGCAAAATGTTTTCAAAGACTCGATAAGGTAGACTAATGTGATTTATGACCTCTGTTATAGACAGGGCTGCCGACAACCAGTATCGCAGCGCAATTTGCGATACATATTTTGTCCGTTGCTAATCAAAAATTAAAATCTAAAGTTTTTGATTCGCAGTAACTGCGAATCATTAATATGCCTGTCATTTTGGATATTGACACAAGGATAATCCACATTTGAAGACTAGAAAGCTTTCTCAACAATTTCAACGAGTATAAAATGTTGAATAAAATTTTATAAACAAAACTGAATTCTCCGTGTGACATTTTCTTCTCGAACTACCCAGACACAATTCATTATACGGTACTATATAATACAGGGACATAACTCTATGAATAGGGACTATTAAACCGGAAACAGGGAATCAAGTAGTACCACTCACGTTGCGAGACATCAAGTAATTATATGACGTGTCTAGTCAATCGAGGTGCGCCCGATTGAACAAAAAAAGCAATACACTATAAAAAGCAGACGAAATTGTTTTCTAACGAAGATTTCTAACGTATAAAAAAATAACAATTAAAATGATTGGGGCTTCGGAAGTCACTGTTAAGAATTGGCTTCAGACATAAGACCTAACTAAATGTCTACATCACATTCACAAACTGTCACAAGTACTTGTGGCAGTCCTAAAAAAATCTAAGATTAGTAAGAATGGAATCTAATCATATTTGTTATGAACTAAAGTAATATCTTGTTATTTAGGTGTTTTATGTTGAAACTGAAAAACTGCTAATCAATTTTTAAATTTGCTAATCAAATTTGGCAAAATTGGACTTTTTGATTAGCAGTGCTGCTAATCAACCGTGAAAAATTACCGTCAGCCCTGGTTATAGAAGTATGCAGGCCATGTGGAACAGTTATAGACGGATGCAGACCGTATGGAACAGGATAGATAGCTATATAATAAAGTATTAAACAGAGACAGAATGTTTTTGGAAATTTTTAATTGTATTTGTTTATTCGCCCGGACACAATTCTCACAGGGCCCTAATTTGCCAAGGGCCCATTTGGCTCATGGCCGAAATTAGCACAGGGCAGAAATTCGCCCATACCCAATTCTCTAGAGCCCAAATTCGCGAGGGGCCGAAGTTCGCCAGGGGTCCAATATCGCCCGTGGTTCATAATCGCCCGAGGCCCAATTTCGCCCGGCCTTAAACATTGATTTGATACCATATGACAGGGCCTGTGGTCCACATTCAACCGGCCTTAAACATTCACGGGGCCATGCTGGTTAATTTAATACCACATATATCGGGTCCCGGGGCCTAATTCGCCCGGAACCCAAATTCGACCTGGACCCATTTTCGATAGCCTAAACATTCACGACGCATACACACCAGCACATACATACATACATACATACATACATGTAAATTATTGTATAGTAAAAACTGCCTTGTAATGGTCGTACGGTATATCTAACATCTAGATAATCTGATTTGTACTGGATAAACTATATTAAATCTAATCTAGGTTTGTAAAATATATATTATTCTTGTGTATAAAATATAGTATAGTTTATACTTGTACTGGATATTCTAATTTTGTAGATATATATTATTCTTTAAACATACATTATGCAAGAGCAAAATCTGATTATTGCAAGTCTTAAATTAGGCGTCAGATGTTATAGAAATTATAAATTAGATCTTTATTTAAACAACAAGCCCAAAATTAACTCTGTAGAGCCACGGATGGCTCGGCTACAGCTCGGATTTAAATAGGATTTCACTCATTGATAAATTGAAATATGGCGCACCCTGATGAGAATACGTCGGTTAGATCGAGGATAAATGATAGAGTGTACTTAGCGAGGCCGCTGTAGAGTGTTTCCGCATGCCATTGAAAACTTTACTTGATAATCGAGATATTTAGGTGGAGTTAACGAATGTCAATCAAACGATCGACCAAGGTGATGGCACATTTCACTACCATTTCTAGGCAAATATTACAACGATGATAACTATGTTCAGAATAAAGTAATTTGACTGAAATTTTCAATATATTCTTCTTTCATCATTTACTTTTGAACTGTTATAGCAAGAATGGCCAACTCTCTATAAAAATCTCCCATAATGTATCTTTAATATAAATTATTGAATAGTTTATACTTGTAATGGTTTCTATATACCTATTCTATATTTGTATATAAATTATAATATAGTTTATACTTGTACTGCATAAACTATATTATACCTACATGTAATCTATGTTTGTTATACATATATATTATTATTGTGTATAAATTATGCACCCGATTAGATTTTATTACATACTTCGAGAAGGTATTTGTTGAGTAATAAAACCTTCTAGTAGTTTATAGAGAGCTGGCCGTCCTTACCGCACGGTACTAATATTACCACCACTAGAAGCAACAAATTCCAGAACAAGCCAGAACTCATACCAAAATGGCCGCTTTATACAAATGAGTATTTAGGGGAATACTAACCCTAACCCTTTTAAGAGAAGTAAACTAAATTAGACCCAAGTTCAGTCTTTTAAAAAGGGTTAGGGTTCGGGTTAGGTATCCCCAAAATTCTCATTTATGTAAAGCGGCCATTTTGGACTCCGGAAGCACCCGAACCTCGATAAACTACTAGAAGGTTTTATTTGTAACGGACGGTAAGGACGGCCAGCCCTCGATAAACTACTCAACAAATACCTTCTCGAAGTATGTAATAAAATCTAATCGAGTGCATTATAGTATATGGTAACACCTGTAATGATCTAATCTATGTAAATACAATGTATATATAATTATTGTATATAAATTAAACAATAAAAACCTCCGTGGTTGGTTTTACCGCAAACAAATTACAAAATAGATAAAAGATCCAACTGCTTGCTTCTATGGATCGGCATATTTAGCAGAGAGATAATTTGCGTTAACGTTCGCTCGACACTAACTAGGTCATTTCGTAACTAACATATGATTTAATGGTTTGATTTCCATAGTTCGCTAGCATGTAGGGGTCTTTAGCAGCGAGATGAAACCGGAGGACCCGCAATTAGCACAGGAAAGGAAATAGTCGATCAAACAAACTAAGAATATTAATCTGGACAAAATAGCACCCAGCGTGTATAAGGCGTCAAAGATCATCTTGTGATTATTGTACGTATTTCGATTATTCGTGAAATATACAAAAAATGAGAGAAAACCGGAGACCAGTTTGCTACCCCTTTCTCGCAACATGTCTTTTGCACTACCTGGACATATTTAGAAGCCACATTGACTGAGCGAGTGAGGTGCTTGCTCAATAATGAAATGGTCCCCAGATCAATTCCATTGATGGCCGAGCAAGTAACTTAGGAAATTTAGGTCTGGCGGTGGTGGTGGTGGATGGACGGTCTAGCAAGGAACGGTGTCGCCTAGTCGTTTATTGAAGTCTGTGACGATAGTCAGAGAGACAACGTGAGGTCTGGGAGATGAGACGCCATCATGAGGCAATATTTCTGTTCATTTAGTTGCATACATGTATTGGATTAGAGCGGAGTAAGGCAGCGATGTTTGAGGAGAAAATAATATGCCCTAGGCGAGAAGGAGTGGGCTGCCCCCTTCCCTGGACACGCCCTTCATAGTTCACGTGGTCTGTATTGGAGTGCAAACCAAAACTAGAATAGTAATTATTTCCCCTGATTTTATGACTAGTCCTTGATTTGGGATTATTTCGCTTTTTTTGCTAGGTTTTGACAAGTGTTCAAAGTCTACAGATTCCTTCGATCAGGTCTGGGAAAAAAAATAAAAATGTCCCCTCCCTGTTCATTAATTTAATTAGTTGAGCTCTTTATAGATTGATTCAATCAGAATAGAATTACTAGTCTGATTCCATGGGCATTAAAATAGAATTATCTCCCTTGCAAACACTGAACCATATAACACGCACGAAGAAAGTTATCACCATTAAAAGAGGGGTAGAAATAGTTCATCAAACAGCTACAAGATTATTCAAGTAAATAGGTGAGTTTTTATAATAAAAGGCTGTAGAAACGTCAAACAGAATAGGCCTATATAGGTAGATCGATATATTATTTCGATTCGTTTCGGACACTTGTTTTATATCATCAATTGAAATGCCTGGGGGGTGACGCAATATCTATTTATGGAAAGGGGGAAACCCAGTTTTGAAGCTACCGTTATCAAGTTCTTTAATTATTTATATTATGTTTCAAACTCGAGATGGGGGGGGGGGGGGAGATATGTGAGTCTACCGTCACAAATTAAAAGAGAGAGGGGAGTTGTGAGTCTACCGTCACAAATTAAAATTTGGCTTCGTTTAATGGAATTGATAGGCCTACTGTGTTCATATTGAACTATTATTGAGCTTTTATAGTTATAAGCGGGTGGCTCTATTCTCGAAACCTTAAAATACACTAACATGGGTCTAAAAGCACATATTGAAGGACGAGTGATAACAGATGCATGGGCGAATTTCTGCTCACTAATAATTCCCTCGAAGACAAAAGTTGTTATATATGAGACTGTAAGAGGATATCTGACAATTCAAAAAAGTAATTGAATGTCATTAGATAAGAGAACACAAGAAAAAAAGAAAAAGTCCGTATATTCCCTTGTGTTTATTCATTCTATACTTATGCTCTCTTATCTAGTGACAGTCAATTTAATTTTTTTTATGAATTGTCAGATATCCTTTCATAGTCTCACACAACAACTTTTGGTCTTCGAAGGAATTTAAAAATTCTATCGAGCTGCCTGGAGTACGTAGTGATCATGTGAGATAGAACGCAGTGCTACGAGACTTGTCACGATGTAAAGTGCCAAATTTACCTCATTGAGTAGGGATCATCGGGTATGGGTTATAGAGTTATGTATACAAATCCCTGGAGTACTGAAACGTAGGGACGGCACATGATCACTACGTACTCCAGACAGCTCGATAGAATTACAATCAAACTTCACTTGGTAAGTTCGTTTAATTTTTAAATTCTATCTCGCTGTCTTACGTCACTACGAGGTCATGTGAGAAGTTTAAAGCACGAGGAATAAATTTGGCGATAAAAACACATGTAATAATAAAAGGATGTATTTTTAATAAACATCATACAATATTAAAGTAGCTAAGTCTCTAACTCAATATCATCCAAAGTCTTGCACGTTGAAAACACGAACTATTTGTCAATTCAAATCAACATTGATGTTGTTATCTTACCGGGACAAGGTAGGCTTCTGATATCCAATATTTAAGACAAAATAAACATGTTACCATTGGTACACGAATCGTGTACCATAGTGCGTTTCATCGTCATTTGTAACAAGTGACCTGAAAGAGCGAGGCTAGACATATTCCACTGTCATGTCATACGGCGACGCCCATAATTTATCTGGAGAGCATGCGCAATAGACTGGAATAACCAGACGCTAGAAATTTCTATTCGGCTGAGACACACGCCGTATTTCGCTGGAACTAACTGATTTGAAATTAGAGTCAAAACGGAAACAATTGAAATTAAATCAGTTCATATACAATCAGATTACATTATTATATGCGTTGCGACCCATTTGTGTCAATTTCTAGGTCCCACATATTGGCGATTTAGCTCCTTTAAGTATTAATTACATATTCTCATACCCCAGTTCTACATGCATTGGCAATCTCTGTACCAGATTTAATTGTCTTATTATAAAATTTTGAAAACGTACTTTCACTTCTCCAACCAACAGTTTTTAATATTGTATCTAAACTCATACTCCTAGTAATAGCATTCGACACACTGCTGCTCTAGTTGAATGTGGTGTAACCATGGTTAAATCAATTCCCGCTAATTTTAACACCGTTTTAGTCCAACGACTGAGAGTATCTCTTGAAATTGGACGGAATGTTTTCCAACTGATAATTAATTGCGTAAATTCACATTTAAACATGTAACCGCACACAAATCTAGTTCTTCCGAAAAAGCAGAAAAAAATATTACTCCAAGATGCTTTCCTGGTTTACTAGTTTTAAGTACATCACCAATTCGGAAAATCCCTTTATCCTCAAATAATGTCATATTTCTAATATCAAAGTACAATAAAGTCTGTCCTCTTTGTCCAGACAACAATAACAATAACACGATTAATTTAAATGTTAAATCTTTTAAAGAAAGATCTGAAATAGGTATCCAAGATTTTAAAACGTTCAATACTAAATTGACAGCCCAAGATATACTATTTCTTGGCAAAGCAGGCCTTTTGTTGAACATCCCTTTCATAAATCGCCTAACTAATGGATGATTTCCAATTGTTCTTTCATCATTATAGATTAAAGTTAAAACAGCAGATCTCGCTGTATTAATAGCACTATAACCCAAATTACTGTTATAAAGATCAGTCAAAAAATCTAAAACACAATTTAAAGGTGCTGAAATTGGATTAGTCCCCTTGAATGACAAAAGCACACCCATCTTTTGATATAGCCGAAATATTGTTTCTTAATATTATCTCTCCAGGATGCCAACAATATTTCGGTAGTTTTTGCTGAGACATTGTACTGCTCAAAGGTTTGCCTGAGAGTCGACAAACTATCAAACGAGTCTGTGGAAATAATGAATTTTTCATTTCTATGTTGCGTGGATTCACCAATAATGTGTTAACTCTTTTGGCAGAATCTTTGGATAAGCCACCAATAATTTGAGCATCTTGGAAAACCAAACATGTGTCGTCCATAACGGTAGAATTTTCAATATCTCTGCTTGCTCCTGCTCTACTTTCTGTAAAATTCGACTGATGAGACTGAAAGGAGCAAACTCATGCCAACAAAAAGAAAAAGCATCTATAGCCTAAGCATACGGGTCCGGTTTCCAACGAACATATTTATCAATCTGATTGTTAATTCGAGATGCGAACAGATCTATTTCACATTTTCCATAAATTGACTGCAATGTCAAGAAAATTGGATGATTTAGCTTCCATTCATGACCAATTTTGACCGCTCTACTCTCTAAATCAGCTTCATAATTTAAAAGACCGGGAATATAACAAGCGGTCACAAATATATTTCTTTTTATGCACCAGAACCAGATATTTCTTGTCAAATCATTTAAATCTGGTTTATCACTACCAATTTTATTTATGCATGCCACTGTGGTCGTATTGTCAGAAATAATTTGACATTAATATCCTGTAAATTTCTACAAAATGACTTTAAGACAAATTGGATAAGAGCGAAACCTTAAGATGATATCCAAAATTTTCTGTGACAAAACAGGTCCAGTGTAAAGACAATCATTTAGAGAAGGCCCTGATGATTTCGCTGAATCATCGTAGACTATTCGTAGTATTGTTGTGGACTTGTCTCGCCGGAGCACTGCGTGATGCGGGGTGTAATGAACATTTCCAACTTCAACTTTACTGAACGTTGATGACGGCACAACTTCAACGATATCATTTTGAATCTGGTCCCTTATAACTGAGTCATAGTCCATTAGGATTTCTGGAGTCTGGCGTAGACGCTTTAAGAGGTTTAATAATCTTCGATGACTTAATTCTCATAATTACCAGGAAGCATTTCGCGAGGACATTTCCAAGAAAGGTTGGTGGTATAATGACGACCGTTGAAAGTTATTTTCTGGAGAAACATTTCATAGACTGGAGTGGGCTTGATTCCTATTGATTCTCAGTCCCAGAATCTGTTTAAGTCTTCCCCCAGATTATCTCTTTCCGATGCTGATATCTTGAGTACATGAGTTGTAACCATATTACTGTTATGAATCTCCTTTCCCATGATTCCCATCGTTTGACCCGAGAGAACCCATCCTAATTTGGTATGAATGGCGATTGGCCCTTCCTCCCCCCGTTTGACTCTGCCAGTTACAAAGGCCCAATATTGATCAGATCCAATTAACATGTCGACAGTAACATCTGATTGGCCGGTGACGCAATCTGCCAATTTTAAATCGGAAAGATGCTGATAAAAGTTCTTGGATTCAATTACCGCCTCATTCTGTATCGGATCACATATGAAAGGAACAGCATAAGCAGTCAACTCTATTTCTCCTCCATCCACAGTCAGGATGTTAAGTTTGACAATATCAACAGTCTGGAGTGATTCTTTATCTGACCCGAAGGTTTTAATCATGACAGTTTGCTGACCAACAGAAGGTAGATTCAATCGTTTATTGACATGGATTGTGACGTAAGTGCGCTGACTTCCGGAGTCAAAGATGATGCGAACAGAACATTCAGCATGAGTTACATGAAAATCATGGAGAACCCATTACCATCGCAGAAGTCAGGTTGCGTTTTTGAGATCATTTCCTGGGTTCAGTTCTGTGTTTGGGAAGGAGGCTTATTACTCAGGTAAAGTTGGAGATGTGGTCAAAAATATACAATAAAAACATTTGGCAAGTTTTATGCAATGCGTCTATTCAGAGTAACTTACCAACCTGACGTTTCTTTTGCTGCTTATTATAACAATGAGTTCATTGGATCTAAATAAATGTTAATATTTTACATGTATAAAAAATGTAGTCGTAGTATGATACAAGTTATGGAATGCTTTGTTTCACACAACCCTTGTAGCGCCTGGTCATCGGTTTGTATTGCATATAGCTAAGGGCAGTTGAGAGTATTTTTTCGCCTGATCGCGTCGATTGAAATTCGCCAAAGTTTTCTATTGCCGATACCTAACGGGCGTAACGATTGTGTCGAGGGCGTACGCCACTCTACGAGAAAATTACGTCAATCACGTGACTTGTACAAATTGGCCATTCATCGAAATCGTAAGATTGCTGTGGTAGCTGCTATTTATTTGTACGGACCATCGATTGGGCGAATGGTTCGCCGAGCAGAATCGACGTCGCCGTGAACGGGCACACAGTTGATTTTTTTCCAGCGATTTTAAAAATCGACGTAGTCAGGCGAAAATAAAACCGCCCCTATTCTTAAAGGCTACAGTTAATAAAGACGGTTGATTTAAGACTGAACGTTCGTGAGTTAAATATGTTGTACTGTAGAATATGTCCCACAAACATCACTCCAGCCGTACAGACCTCGGGTATGATATAGTATTAACGGAACGTGTGGAAATATGTGACGTTGGCGTTGACGTTTATGTTATATTTGTACATAACTAATAGTTTTTATTTATTTGTGTATTTCAGTGATGTTGAGATAATAAGGCCACTGGATAAAGACCAACAGCTACAAAGATGGATGCACAGAGGTTCGTATATTAAATAGCCCAGTTTTTTGAATACCGAATGGAATCTCGCACTCGTATTCCAGCACTCCGATTCGGTATGACGTTAGCAAACATATTTCTAAAGCCAATAAAAACCTATATAACCGTCGCCATATATATATCTATCTAGCACGGTAATAATTGTTGCCGGTAACTTTATTAATTGTTGCCGGTAACTTTATTAATTGTTGCCGGTACCTTTATATTAGAAAATAACATTTTAAAATATATTGATGCCTAACAAACAAAAAAACCTAATAAGTCAATACCGTACACATACTAAAATACTGGGCTAAGTGGGCGCGCAGAAAAGGGTACGCCCACTTTGCATCAAAATGTATTCAAACCAGCTTCGTTGGTAAAATGTGTTTTTATTTAGAAATTACTTGACTGCAAAATTTCAGAAGCCCCCTATGCTGCATTTTGAGATATATTATTACCGTTAACATACCAGACGTAAAGCAGTGAATATGAATTTGACTGATTGGTATTACTTCCGGTAAATTAAAAGTTATTTCATAGATTTAATCAGATAAAGCGAAAACGAATACTTTGACAAAATAGACAAGGAAATTAGTGAATCTAAAAACTTTGGGACAAAAACTTGGTGGACACTCATTAATTCATATACTAGAACACCTGCTGCTTCTATAGACGAACCATCACCATTAACAGTTTACGGTAACACATTGTTTACCCAATCCGAAAAAGCAAATGCCTTAAATTCATCTTTTATCAAACAATCACAACTAAATGACACTAATAAATCTCTACCACTGTTTGTTATGAACCCTAACAGCATCGATAGGATTGTACCATATTCAGAGATGGCCTAGAGACCACAAATCCCCTGGACCGGATTAAATTAATACGCGAATTTTAAAATATATCCGTAAAGAAATCAGTCATCCACTTAGCCAACTTTTCAAACTATAATTAGATCTACACAGTGTACCAAACATTTTGAAAACGTGATCACTATGTTACAAAAGCTCCCTAAACGATTGTAGTAATTATAGAGCACGTTGGATCACAAGATCTGTCATTAAGTCAAGTGGTGTGGTTGTTATTGTTGATAGTGTTCAACGTCCGCTTCCACCGAAGGTGATATCGCAGACAAGTTGTCTTTTTTTTATTTTAATGATCTTAGCGCACGCGCAGAGGTCTTTGCTGTGGGAGGAAATCGGAGTACCCGGAGTAAACCCACAAGGTAGAGAAGGCGCCCCTATCTCCAAGCCACATACGCTCACACCAGGGATCGAAACCACACCCGCAAGCCAGAGGTGACCGGCCAACTAGTGGTCGGAGCGTGACACTCTAGACCACTAGACCATCCCAACACCCCAACAGGTGTGGTTTCGAATCCCCACTTTAATATGACAAGGAGTAGGTCGCCTGGCAAACCTCGTGGGTTTTCTTGGTCCTCCGGTTTCGTCCCACTGCTCAAGGCAGCGATTGTTATCCATAGAACTGTGTTGAGTTATATTAATTAGACATTAATTAACTTACCAAGACCATAACGCCATCGTTAGTCTGCGATATTTAGTGGGTTTGAATACATTTTGTGATGGATAAGTTAACTTAAAAATGGATAATCGAGGCAGAATACGCTGAGGTTTTACCTTGTCATTGTATTTATATCATCTTTATAACTAAAACAAAATGTTTAATATATTTTAGGCTACTGGAGTCAAAACTACGCCAAGCTGAAGAAGATGGAAATATAGGAGCAGTAGTTCAAACATTATCATTACAAGATAAGACGCAAGCTTTACTTATAGCTGGTATAACAGGATTGTATGACGTTGTGATATATCTGATAGACCATGGTATTGGTGTACAATATGTCAATAGCCGCCAGAAAAATCTCATGCACTTACTTTTAGGTAGCTATAACAGACATATCAATACAATGTAAAGGTAAATTAATTGAGGCTGGGGTAGACGTAAACTGGCCCAATGAAAACACTGAGATGCCTGTATTTACAGCTACTAGGAAAGGATTGTATGAAGTTGTGATATATATGCTAGAACATGGTTTTGATGTACATTATGTTGATAGTCTCCAGAACAATCTAATACACATACTTTTATATAGATATGACAGATATGACAATAAAGGTAGACATGCTTTGTTATTACCATGTGTAGTTAAATTAGTTGATGCTGGTGTAGACGTTAACCAGTTGAATGTTGATAAAATGACACCCTTACTTATAGCTGCTAGAAAAGGATTGTGTGACGTTGTGATATATCTGCTAGAACACGGAGTTGATGTACATTGTCTTGATGGTCGCCAGAACAACCTCATGAACATAGTTTTATATAATTATGACAGATCTTACAATACAGGTAGAATTGATTTGTTATTATCATGTGTGGTTAAATTAGTTGATGCTGGTGTAGACGCCAAACAGTCAGATGAAGATAAAGTGACAACTATATTTATAGCTGCTAGAAAAGGATTGAATGATATTGTGATGTATTTCTTAAAACGCGGAGTAGATGCACATTGTGTTGACAGTTGTAAATGCAACATTCTTCACTATATTTTATGCTGTATGTATTCCAGTGTGATGGATGAAGAGAAATGTATACAACTTGTTAATACTTTAATAAACATGGGATCAAGCATAAACCAACCAGACCACGAGGGTAATACCCCGTTGTTCTATGTCTGTATAAACAAGCCCAAGTTTTGTATGAGTAACATGCACGGAATAAAATTGGCATTAGAGGCAGGACAGGATATCTACGTTCGATTAAAATGTAAATTGATAAACATTTTATTAGAAGCTGGTTGTAATGTAAACCATCAAAACACTGAAGGCCAAACAGCCTTAATGTACTATATAATACAACAATCTGATACCAGTATATTAAAACTATTAATTCCACATTCTGACCTAAGTTTATCTGATAATAATGGTGATACAGCAATTAGTTATTGTGTTCAATATCACATGTTCCGTTCTACAGCCGTCTTTAAACTTTTAGTAGATTCAGGCTCAAATCTGATGTCTCGTAGCCACAGAGTTAAGTTATTATATAATATTTTAAATTGTAAGAGGCTGGGGGTGTTCAGTTATTACATTAGGCTAAAGTTGATTGTTAATGGTGTTACAGCCGACGGAGCAAATATGCTTCATCTTTTAGCTCGTGTTAACTATAATTATTCTCTAAACAAGTTTAAATTGTTGTTACATAACGAGCTAGATATCAACCAGCTCTGTTCTAAAACCAATTCACCTACTATGATAGCTGCCTTTTTACTAAACAGTAAATATTTAGAACTGTTGACACGTCATCCTAGACTAGATATCAATGCACAAAATAACCAGGGTCATACGGCAGTCCACCTTTGTGTCATTGGATTTACGATGTTTAAAGATGGCTTGAACAAGAGGCAGGTAAATGATGTTGTTAAGAATTATTGTAGACAGATATATCCGATATATATGGCTTGTATTGATAGTTTACTTGGTGTTGATGGAATAGATGTAAATATTAAAGACCATAGAGGTAGAACTAGTTTAATGATGGCTGCTATGAAAAACGACAGAGTTCTTACAAGGAAACTGCTTCGGGCTGGTGCCATAGTTAACTTGTTAGACTATTCAGGAAGAACTGCTCTACAATATCTCAATATTTATCAAAGTGTGTTTGATTTGACTTGTTTCAAATTACTTCTATCTAATGGTAATACTGGTCTTCTCAATTTACCCTGTATAGATGGTAACAAGATAATTCAAACAGTCCTGTGTTTTCCTCGCTTATGGGAACCATGTCAAACCATTTGTTTTATTAGGTATTTAGTTTCTGCAAACTGTTGTCTTCAAATACTAGTAACAGCTTCATTTGAAAGTAACTATAACCAAATTGACCTGATTGAATTAAGTCCCCAAGAAAGGGATAAACTGAGACAACTGTTATATCTTAGTGGCGCCCAAGGGGAACAAATTATGACTTCTTTAAATTTTGATCAGGAAGATAAACAATATCAAGAAAACGACACAATTCGCTCACGAGACAGGGAAAAATTCATTAGTTTCTGTAGTAATGTATCTCTGAAGTCAATTTGTAGAAGATTCATCAGACAGAATCTTGGATGGGAAATAAAGGAGAAGATAAAAGATCTAGAATTACCTCGTTAATTAAATGATTTTCTCCTACTAAAAGATGTTCTCCACCCACACGATTACAACTTAGACCATATGGATGATGGCTGTAATTATTTTGATGACGATGATGATTATGATGGTTATGATATAGATAAAGATAGGGATGATGATTATAGTCAATATAACTGCCAGTATTTTACCCTCAATACGGATCATGAACTAAGACAAGATTTCCTAAAAACCAATATATTTCCTAATGGTAACAATGATTTTCTAAAAAAAACCAGGGATGATGACGACAACAATGATGATGATGGCGACGATGACGATCATGACGATGATGGCGACGGCGATGATGATGATGATGACGACGATGATGATGATGGCGACGACGATGATGATGATGCCGACGACGATGATGTTGGCGACGATGATGATGGCTATGACGACGACGACGATGATGATGGCGACGACGATGATGATGATGACGATGACGAAGACGAAGACGACGATGAACCATATCTGAGATAACCATGATGTTCATTGTACTTTGAGTACGTTTAGTCTACATGTAACTGCTGGTCAGATTGTAAAGTCTTGTCTTATTCTGACCAGTCACAAACTACATAAGTAATTTGACAAGTATTCGCGTTAGATTATTGGTATACCTAATATTAAAAATAGTAATGAATTGTTCAAATATTTCTCTAATTGTTATATCCTATACTCTATTTCATAACTGAAAGAACATTTAATTTATATACAAACCTGTTTTATGTGTGTGAGAGAGAAATGGGGTTTAACGTCCACTCGACACAAACTAGGTCATTTCGGGTATGACTTTATTTTGCTTCAATAATTAGCTTGCGCGTAGTGGGCTTGAGCAGTGGGACGAAACCGGAGGACCCAGAAAACCCATAAGGTTTGCCAGGCGACCCTGTTTTATGAGCAGTGGGACGAAACCGGAGGACCCAGAAAACCCATAGGGTTGCCAGGCGACCCTGTTTTATGTGTACATACTATGTGTAGTAATATCGGACTTCCTTGTTGTGATCGTGAAATAAAACTACATAGTTCGTTTCTACAGCTTTATTATTAAACTGCTTGTAAGGCATATATGTACCACGTTCCCAATAAAGCATAGATTATAGCTGCTAGGAATATCAGGGTGAGTTCTCCAAATTTCACTCAACACCCTCTTTTACAACCCCCTTATTTCTGTACGTCTTAGACTGACCTTGTCGTTAATTTCCTTCCCAAATATGGAATAAACACCCCATTCTCCCAAGACAACACTGGTTGAAATTCATATAATACTTTTATTGTTCTTCAAACATATGTACAAAACGTAAGACTTCGTAATTTCCCCACTCGTTACCGTTCCTTCGGAATCCTATTACCAGTATTGGTAGGAACAGTTGTTAGTCTTGACGGTGGAGTAGATGTACTAGGTACCAGCGTTGATTGTATAATGGTGGCCCGTGGCGTGATAAAGGCTAATTCATCTCTATTAGTTGTTAACTCGCCCGTCGTCTCTTGCACTAATCTCTGGACGATTTCCACAATTTTCCATTCCAAAACAATGGCTTAAAAAATTTTGAATTTTGAATTGCGTTTATAGCAACATATAAAGCCATCTTAGCTATTAAATAGTTTATCAATAATGTGAACTAATTTGTTGTTCTTTATACCAGTCAATCGAATTGACTCCTAGTACTTTTGAATACAAAACGATTGGTCTTTAATATATTTCCAGTACAAATAATTGTACAACGACAAACCTGAAAGTCCCGCATGACCTTGATTTGGACGATTTAGAAAGCCCTTGTGAACTACAGTATTGTAATAGTTGGATTTTTAATGGGGATATCAGTCCATAATGGATCTATTCCGTTCAGTATTTACAAAGATATCATACAGTAAAATTCCATCCATCTTTGATGCCCGTTACGTATCTACACTTTCTATATTATTTTTTCTCACTGCTTTTTATTGACAGCATTTATTCGTGTCTATATTTCTTTGAAGTTGAACTTTCCGCAATTGTGTATTCTACGGTAGGCTAATCGCCACTAAACAAGCCTAGGTCCTGTCGGATGACGTCATGACATTATAACCCGCCCTCCGCCGTCTAATGTGTTTGCGGTGTTTTTTGATTGACATGTTTTTAATCCGATGAATCCAAGTCGGGAGATTATCTAGCGCTGATATTTGGAGTTTTGTTTTCTGAATTAAATAATTAATCTAAGTACATATTACGATGGATTAAGTCGGATGAATTCAAAAATTTCTAAATTAAAAGTTAAATAATCAATGTGGATATATATTACGGTGGATTAAGCCGTGTGATATATGATATTTTCCGACAAATCGCTAATAACACACTGAGCAAGATAAGAAAAATTACCCACATTGTATGGAGTGCGAGCGTGCTCTGTTGGTATTATCTTGGCGTATATTAGTGTGACACTATGGGGACAGATGATTGTCTAGGACCTGCTTGGACTTCATGTTGTTGGATCAATTATTTCAATCTGGAACACCGTTTATGTCCTTACTAAGTTTATCTAACGAATACAGCAAACTATAAAGGTTACATACACGAAACTACAATATCTATGATAGTTACATTTTGAGTTATTAAAATCTCCACGGTCTGAGTGTAATATCCATTCTAACTCAGGTCTAACGGCTTAAACGTGACAAGAGCCACATACTTCTTGTTGGTTCTACATAAGGTTCGCGCTAGGATGATGTGTTCGCCCTAGCCTCTAAGCCGAGGAGGCTATAGATATGTTCCCCTTGAGCTCCGAATAATTGTCTGAAGTAAATCAAACCCGTTCTATATACTATTCAAAAAAAGTAGGGGATATTTGATTTTTAAGTGTTATTAAAGTCACCTAATGAAACTGACGAAGAAACAAATGACAAAATGAAATGAAGTTCACATTCATCGATTTATTCCAAATGATCGTTAGACTAAGTAAGGCACAGACTGACCATTATAAGGGTAAAATGATACCCGGGGCCAAACAGCAAAGTTACCACAGCATCACAACCAAGTCAGTAACGGGTAAATCCTCCTCTGTTTGCCAAACAAGCATTGATCCGACGTGGCATACTCCTAATGAGACGTCTAAGGTCATTTTGGTCCAGATTGTCCCATTCCTGTTGCAACGCAGCAGCAAGTTCTTGGACATTGGCAGGACGTTGTTGACGTTGACGTAATCTCTGTCCAAGCATGTCCCAGACATGCTCGATGGGGGAGAGTTCGGGACTCAGTGCTGGCCAAGGTAATGTGGTGATGTTCTGTTGTTGGAGGTAACCTGTAACGATCCTGGCCCTGTGACATCTTGCGTTGTCATCCTGGAAGATGAAACGGCGGCCATGACGTCGTGCGAACGGCACAACATGGACTGCCAAGATGTTGTCCCGGTAGTACTGGCCTGTAACACGCCCTGCAACAACATGTAAAGCCGTTCTTCCAGCAACAGTGATGCCTCCCCACACCATAACAGAACCACCCCCAAATCGATCATGTCTGATGACGTTAACGTCTTGGAAGCGCTCGTTTCGACGACGCCACACCCTCCTACGTCTGTCCAAAAAATCAACAGTGAACCTTGACTCATCTGAAAACATCACATTGCTCCAGCGTCGATTATCCCAGTGTTGACGATCCCTACACCAACGACGTCTTGCCTGAATGTGATGATCTCTCAAACAAGGGATCACGCGAGGACGTCGGGTCCGAAAGTGACCCCTATGCAGTCGATTCCGAATCGTCTAGCCACTCACTCTCACACCAGTGTCTGTTTGAAGACGAGCGCTGATCTGATTTGCTGTGATGACACGATTTCTCAAGGCCAAGGTACGGATAAATCGATCCTGGGCTTGAGTTGTCGCCCTTGGTCGACCTGAGCGTGGTCTGTCCTGTACAGATTGTGTATCACGGTATCTGGACCATAGCCTGCTTATGACAGACTGAGAAACATTCATCGTCCGCGCCACAACCGCCTGTGTTGTGCCGATCTGTAGCATGCCAAGGGCACGTAACCTTTCATTTTGGGTTAGCCGACGCATATCAAAATTTGTTTTCTGGTCACTAAAACAATTAAACTGATGTTTCCACCCTGGAATTCAATGCCACAATGACTGTAACATTCAAAGTCAGAGTCGTGCAAATCTTGGGTTGGACCCCCATGATGATCCCAAGCATCACCTGCATTCCATGCGGTAGCTATTGGTGCGTTTGGGCGTCACATGTAACTGGAAATGTTTCTTCTGTTAGGTTCTATAGTGACTTTTTTCGTAGTCATTTGCATATTTTAGTATTATGCCCCCAAAATCAAATATCCCCTACTTTTTTTGAATAGTATATATAGAAGTATAATGCAGCAGCTATTAGGTCGGGACAATTACCATTTTTGGGTAAGTGTTTCGTATAGGCACCGTTTAACGTCAACATTATTCTAGTTAATTGTACTAATCTGTCCCCGAGATGACTGGACGATAGTACCCTACTTTCCAGAAATGGATACTGACATAACTGGGGGTGAGTTAGTCTAAGTCTAGACTCTAAGTTAGTAGTATGATAATGCAAGCTACTTCATTACCTTAGTTTTCGTCACACATCATGTAGGTAAAGATTTCTATATTAAACAGAACACTTTTCTTAGACCTAAAATAACCCTATAGTGTTATATTAGGACTTCTTATGCTGGTTTGATCTAATACCTCGAAGCACAGCCCTCTCACAATATTTATTAATACATGACTTTAATCTATAAGAAACATAAGTACAAATTATTTGACGTCGAACTGGGTTTATTAACGAATTAACATCATAACACAAATAAAGATATATATTGAAATCATTATTAAATCATAATTACAAATTATCTATTAATGAATAATTGAATATATAATTTTAGCATATATAATGTGACCAAGCGTAATTCTAAGTATAAAGTATTATCATACTATGTGTAGTAAACTATTTCACATCATATTATTAGGCATAAAGTAAACATATACTGAGCGCCATAGAAAACGCATCACTTTTTTCCCCAAATATTTTATTACTAGGTGGTTTTGTATGTATAATATTATGCAATACTATGAACTATTGTTTCACACAATGCTCCCAAACACGAAAAATATCGGCCCGTGTGCAAAAAAAAAAAAAAAAAATTGCACGAGATGCACATGAAAAACCCAATATTCACGTGCAGCATTGTGTGTGAGCCCTTTAAAAGCATGTTTTTAACTTAATGTGCAGTACATCAACTGTGAAACGTCAATCTGTCGTAATTTATTGTTGGAGAATTACTGCCGAGAATTACTGAAAATCAACGGAATGAAGCCATGGGAATCTCCAGGGCTGGCATGTCTACACGTGCTATTGCCAGACACTTCAATTGTCATCAGTCCACTATTGTAAGGTTGGTGGAACGTGTTCGAGTTACTGGATCAACACGTGACCGTCAACGTCCTGGTCCACAACGCGTTACAACCATGGCTCAAGACCGCTACATCCGGGTCACTCATCTGCGTGACAGATTCCGCCCAGCGACTCCAACAGGTGCAGCAGTCGTCGGAAGACAAGGACCAGTAAGTAAACTGGCAAAGTGTGCTCTTCAGTGATGAGAGTCGCTTTCATCATTATCACGCTGATGGTCGTCAACGTGTGTGGGGACGTCTTGGGAAACGTCTTGCAGACTGCTGTGTCTTCGAAACGGATCGATGGGGTGGGGGAAGCAAAATAAATAAGATATGTTTACAGGATCATTTTGTTATACGAAAAACTAAGTGATGCGTTTTCAATGGCGCAAGTATAAACTAAATCATCAAGTAGAAATATTTGAACATATGCATGATAAGAGCTAAACATATAATACAAACTGTGATATAAATATTGGTACATACTAAATCAATGAGTAAGATGCATGTTAAGTAATTTTAAATTATTCTAAGATAGAAGTTCAGAAAAGGTAAATAGATAAGACAATGCGTTCAGATTAGAACGATCAGGGTTCGGAGTAAAGATTAACTTATCCACTTTAGAGCAATTAGTTAATTTAGATAAATAATTACATGTATATCACAATATGTACTCTAACATTTCTACATTCTAGTGGCATACCTACGGTTCTGTTGAATTGCACTCAGCTAGAATTGGACATTACCTGGGAAGGCAGCGAAAGGCTCCCCATTCTCCAATATAAAATATCATTTCCAGGTCACAAGCGGCCCTCCAACTGGGTTTCAAATTCATCAACTCATTTTATTTGGACAGCAGCGGGCTTCGGGCGGTGGAAAATCTGACCGATACAAATTCTTTCTAAAGACATCCTAGTTTGCAACCATAAATCGGTCAGTAACAAGACTCCCATCGGCATACCGCGTGTCCAAATATTGTCTCCGACATAGAGAAATGAAAATCTGAGTTGGGGCGTGTCTAAATCCAGTACAAACGTTCGATAAGTTTGGGGACTGTTTTATACATAAAACACGCCCCAGCTTCCGGTCGTCAACCGAAATGTCTGCGTTTCTACTGGTCAAAATAAACGATTCTAGATAACAAACATGAGAACTGTCAATAACCAACACTTTAGACATTACTTAGCTGACATTACAAACAGAGCTATCACACGGACCACCGGGGACG